CTTCCGTAGGCTCTGAATCAGATCATCGAGGGTGCTTTGAACTAAATTCAACCTCATGATCTGATTCGGCTTTACGGAAAGATCACCGGACTGATCTCCGAGGTGGAGAGACAGCCCGGTCTGGGGAATATTCAGATCGGTCGACATTATGAGGAGTTGAGGAGAGGTCAAGGTCGGGAGGAAGAGAGAGGGATTCGAGGTTGTGAGCAGGGTCGGATGGCAGCGTGAGAGCTGCAGGTCAGGCGGCCAACTGCACGAGGGAGTGAGGTAAAACCATACGCCATAAGATCGTTAGGGATATGGAATTATAGAGAAAGCAATGTAGAATGTAAGATGCAAATGGGTAAGAAGTGTGAGAGACGAAAGATGAGGAGAAAGGCAGAAAGGCAGAGAGAGCAAGGCGAAGCGTCGGAGAGTGGGGAGAGCTGACGGTGATTCCTTGTAAAATTACAGGGGATTTCCCGATAGGTTTTTTTCCTTTCTTTTTTTTTTTTTTCTGTTTCTTTTTTTTAATTAATTAATTATAGTAATTTCAATGTATTGACTCCTTATAAGTACCTCCTAGTACATATAGTACATATATATGTACTTCTAATGTTCTTATAATGTATGATATTTAAGAGAGATTCAATAGAAGTGACTATGTATTATAATATGGATAATCCTACTCCGTAAATGGTTCTGTAATCCTATACTCCGTACTCCGTACACATAGACTTTCTCTCCTGTTGGCTTCGATACATTAGTACATTGGTACCGTCCCCGTACCGAAAGTCATTCTTGTCTCAGGGCCCTTTGTTCTACTATTTGTAAGTCACTTGTTCCCAAATCATTTTTTCTTTTTCCCTTGTTTTATTTCTTACCTTTTTCACTTCCAAACTCATTGTAACGCACACCCCCAAGGTACACACACATATATATATACCTTATACGCAGTAGTAATATAATAATATAATAATATATACGGAGACCTACAACATACGTAATCTAAGCGCAGCCGATAACCGCAGTGAATCTAGACTCGGATACAAATACAATACAAATACCCCGTGAGGAGAAATAACAGAAGTGACTCCATCAGTAACGGGGCTTCCCGAGTCCAGTTTTGTTTACCGAAGCGGGTGTGGTCGGGTTTATTTGACTTCGATATAGATTAAAGGCTTCCTTTACTAGTGATATTGTATGTTGTATGTATTTGTTGATGAAAGGAAATTGTCTGAATGTCCTAGTCGACGTGGTTTCATGGGTTTTATAAAAAGAACATCTGAAACGAAATGACCCAATGAAAAACACAGGGAAATAACATTCCATTCTCTCTCTCTCCAATGAAGATCACCCGGGTACTCAATATTTTACCCTGGAGATACCCTGGAGATACCCTGGAGATACCCTGAGGAATGCCACAGCCTTTTGCCCCTCGTTCATATGCACCCAGGCACGGATATCCAACCCGGAAAGGTCCCTCAGGTGTGTTACCGTTCAATGTTTCGCCCTACATCGGACTAGTGGACTTGCTACGGACTCTTACTCCTTTCGATAGGCTAGCGAGAAACGGGGCCAATTCCTCGTACCACATGTTATCGGGCTCCTATTTTGATTACGGAGCAGTTTTAGCCTTTACCATGGTTATTAGTTTCGAACATGGGATGACCTTTGCTGTGTTGTCAATCAAAAGGTCGATGACATCTCCGTATACTCCGTACGGAGTATTGTAGATAAATTGCCTGGCGCAGTTCCTCTTATTGGATCTTCGGTTTCACAGCTGCATGGAAGGTCCATTTATGCATCCTAATGGAGCAATGGAGACCAAGCCATCGGGCTCCGGGGTGTATATTTATTGTATTCCGCCCGTGGTTTTATTTTATTTGAACTTTTTTTCCTTTTGCAGTACGGAGTACGAAGTACTTTGTCCCAATATTGGGTGTTGGACTGGTCAATTCAAGTCGATCCCAACCTCCCAAATCAACTGTGGCAAACCTGAATGAGATCAAGTTACATTGAAAGTTCTCCGTAAGCAATACAAAGAGTGTAAGCAGTGTCCTGCATGGTCTACTCAACCTGGTCAAGTGTAATTCCTCCCCTAAACCGAAGAGGGGGATCCCGTGGATCCCTTGCGCCATTCAGCTTATTCTCCAGCTGTCTAGTCTGAGACAGGGGGAAATAATATCCCCCATTGTCTGCCTTGCTCAAATCCGATCGATGACCTGCAGAACTATCGGCTCCGAAAAACTTCGTCATTGTTTCGACAACCTCGTATTCAATGACTCAGGACTTTTCTCCATTCATTGTATTATATGTACCCCGTAGTACAACATATTTAGCAATCTAATATCCAACATTCTATCCATACATAGGCTATACAGCATACAGAATACAGCATACACAAAATGTCAACCCAAAACGACATCGCCAAACACTTCCGCTCCCTCCACCAACCCGGCAACCCCCTAATCCTAACAAATGTCTACGATGCCGCAACGGCCTCCATAATTGCCTCGTTACCAACAGCACCCGCCATCGCAACAGGGTCCTACGCGATCGCCGCAACGATCGGCGTCGACGATAACGCCCTAACAAAAACCCAAAACCTGACCGCGATAGCCGCAATCGCCGCCTCCGTCCGCGCTACCAACCCTACTAAACCATTGACCGTTGATGTGCAAGATGGGCACGGTGATGCCTCTGAGTTGGCAGATACTATTAAACAGGTCATCGCGCTAGGCGCTGTGGGGTGTAATCTCGAAGATATGGATGCGAGTGGTGTGCTGCGGTCGGTGGATGAGGCTACGGCGCGAGTTGCGGCTGCTGTTCAGGCGGCAAAGGCGGCCGGGGTTCCGGACTTCGTGGTCAATGCTAGAACTGATGTGTTGCTGACGGAGAATGGGACTGTGGAGGAGGCCATTGAGCGTGGGAAAGCGTTTTTGAAGGCCGGTGCTACTACGGTATTTGTTTGGGGTGGGCCTAGTGGGAGGGGTGTTTCGAGTACGGAGGTTACGAGGTTGGTTGACGCCCTAGGGGGTATGGTTAATGTGAAGATGAATTTAAGAGAGGGATTTCTGGGGGTGAAGGAGATTCGGGCGTTGGGCGTTGCGAGAATTAGTGTTGGGCCGGAGTTGTGGCGAACTGCTATGAAGGCATTTACCGAGCGGGCTGAGCAAGTGTTGGCTATGTGAGTACGTGCGTCATTATCCTTGTCAAAGACAAAATTCATGGATAGCATTACATGAGTCATAGGTTAGGTATTCAATACATCGAGAACGAGTCATGCAGCCCAAAATAAACTGTCTGCCCTTAATCCAATACACACATCGAAATCATGATTTATTCCAAGTAGAATTGTTGCAGGCATTCTGATATACGGCGATCCTGTATCATCAAGTCCGGACACAGATCCCATTTACGCAGGGATTCCCATAGCAGCAGTGTTCATCAACAACGCAGGGCCCATTATCCTCACTACAGGCTGGCCAATTATCATCCGTCGATCGACATTTACTAGCAGCACAGTAACCCGAGCAGCATTGGTTGTTCGGGTTGCCGAACTCACAGGATGCTAGTATTGTTTAGAATGAGATACGTTCCAACTTTCATGTTTAGGTGTGGTATCTCGATACTTACAGTATACTCCCGCGCAGGTGGGTGTTGGGACACAGGTTGTGATGGTTGTTGTCGAGGGCGAGACAAAGGTCGCCGTTGTGCATTTCTCGGTAAGGACGCAGGCATCAGCAGTGCCACATCCTCCTGTTGGGCAAGCTGCTGCTTCTGTTTGTTGGAAGATGTGGTTAGTAGGGTGGGGTTTGATGTAAGTGTTGGTTGAAATGCTTACGGCTCAGGGTGAGGTGAGTGAGGACAAGGCCGAGAGCTTTATAGAGATACATATTCCTGGCTTCAGTGTTTCAATCTTAGTTGTGTGAGACAGTGTGGTCGATTGATTGAAATTGGGAGTAAAGCACTTCTATCGGTGTCTATATATACACTACACACCAAGACACGGAAATGCCTAAAGCGTCAACTTTCGAGCGAACCTTGAAATACACGACCAGATGACTTGATACGAAGCCATCTACACCAATTGATAGTGATGTTTCAAGTTCAGGTCATTTGCCACTACCCCAGACTCTCCATCTCTACCGCGGTTCTCCCAACGCCACATGAATACGAGGGCCAACACGAGGAGTTCGGTAAACTCGAATTAGAATTGGCTTTTGTGTGAGACATTCTTCATGATTCAAGATCTTACTTTGTTGGCTTCTTTTGATGTATAGCAACGTGACCGATGATGTTAAACTTGCTGGGCAAAGTTGCCGACTGGTAGAGCCATCGATTTGACTTGATAGTTCAGGTTTTTCATCTTAGGTCATAAATATACAATAAACCTTAAGCAACTTGTTATCACATAGTAGATTATATCAAGACCAAACAATTCTCCATGTACCGAACAAAAACGGCACGAACTCTTCGCTGTACGCCATGCACTTACTGATATCATCAACCCAGATTAGACTGATGCATCTTAGGGATATGACTTCTTAACCAACGAAATATTCTGTGGCATTTCTTGGCGAATAACTCGATCCTACTCGACGTTAACACGAGATTTCCAAGTTAACCAGCTGTCTCCAATTAATTAGTTCCAAGTCAAACCTTGATGGTGAACCCTTCTTACCATCCCGTCTGATATTCCTATGAGCAGATGAAACCCTATTGAATGACAGGCCTTCTAGAAGTTGGCACTTTTTGATCCTGGAGTATTACAGTTCATATCCATATTCTACTATAAGTAGGAATTTAAAGACTAAGTACCTTTTATATGAGAATATCATACAAAATATACCAAAGCAGTGTAAGGGATGTTTAACCCCTGCGCCCCCAAACCCTTTGAGGATTGTGGGTGCGAAGGTGGGTTGGGCTTTGGGACCCAAATCCCAAATCACCTCTCATCCCTCATACCACTCCCAGTGACATCATATTAGGGTCAAAGTTTACCTTCATCGGTTCTCATGGCTCTCCCCAGGACAGAGTGAGTGACCTCCAAAATAGGCATTTATATACGAAATTCAGCGCATGCATTATCGAGTGTAAACAGATGAATATAAATAAAATCCGAAGCTAACAAAGACCATCAGCTTCCCCGCAGTGCGGGCCTGCATTTTCGACATGGACGGTCTCCTCATCAACTCCGAAGACATAATCGGTCTCTCCACGAACCAATTGTTGGAAAAGTACGGGAGGCCTCCTTTGACTCGGTCGATTCAAGCCCAACTCATGGGTGTCGCGGACTCTACAAATGGCGATGTATTCCATAACTGGGCCAAGTTGCCTATCTCGCGCGAGCAATTCGCCCGTGAATCCAGTGAAGGCATGCGACTACGTTTTCCGGATTGCAGGCCTCTACCTGGCGCGGAGAATATTCTGTCGAGTCTGAGCCGTGCACGAAGTGCTTCGTCTGGGGACACGATTCAGCTGGCTTTGGCTTCCAGCACAAAGACCCGTAGTTATGAGTTGAAAACTTCGGGGCCGGAATCGAAACTATTGCTGAGCTTCTTCCGTTCAGATAGAAGAGTTCTAGGTGATGATCCACGAGTGCGACAGGGTCGAGGGAAGCCAGCCCCCGACATTTATTTGCTCGCGCTGCAGATATTGAATTCAGAAATAAACCCCGGGGAAAATCCCATCCTGCCCAGTGAGTGTTTGGTATTCGAAGATAGCATCGCTGGTGTAGAGGCTGGAAGACGGGCTGGGATGAGAGTTGTCTGGGTTCCGCATCCAGATGTAGCGGTCGAGTATCAGCCGATGCACAAGGATATCTTGGCTGGTAGGTCGGGAAGATTTAAGGTAGGAGACGACTGGCAGCTAGGAGAGGTTGATGATGGCTGGGCTGAAAGTATACCTAGTCTAGAACACTTTGATTACGAGAAGTATGGCCTCGATGTGGTATCTCAAACACCTTCATAGAACAGTTGCAATTCAATTTGGTACTAGAAATAGACTTATCAACGAGCCCAAAAAGCAACAATTTCGTCAGAATCTTCCATCGTCAAACTATTTAAACCCAGATTCTCCTTGGTGATCTTTTTCCTCAAGCGACAAACAACTCTCAAGGCAATAGAAGCCTTTTGTATCTTACCTATAGCCGACAACAGCTTTCCCGTGAGGAAAGTAGTCCGAGCGATCTCGTTCTCATGCGCATTTGGATCAACCGACCAAGTTTCCAGTGATTCGTTGATCATATCACTAAGAGAAGTTAGAAAGGTGTTAAGCGACCTAGTTAAATGGAAGGGCTTAGATCGCCTCCTCACTTCGGTCCAAGCGGATTAGGTGTTGGGAAATCTTATGGGCGACATTTGCAGTGTAAAAGTCCCTCTCACCAACTGTTTCTCGCATGTGGTGCCATGCTCTGCGGTAGTAACTGAAACTTTCCTCCCACTGGCTTTGCACAGCCCGGAGGTTGCCAATAGCATAAAGAACCAGTCCGGACATCTTTCCTATAATTCTTTCCCAATGCTTTCTCTCTACTCGCCAGGCTATTAAGAAGAAGTGTATTGCACTCTTCACGCTTGTCCTGAAAAAGAAGGGCCCAGCTCAGATTGGCCTCGCCTGATCGCGGAATGTAGTTCTGGAGATCTTTGCGTGTCCGCAGTGCGTCGTTAGGATCGGCCTCCCCTTCCTCATACCGTCTGTCCTGGACTCGTAGGATCCCTCGCTCTGCGTAGGCGAGGTATAATCTGTCGTCCCCGGTTCCCAGCTCTTTGCAGATTTGGGAAACTAGATTGAAAGAACATTCCTTGTCAATCGCATCCATGGCAATAGCTCCTAGACAAAATTGGATATCTGCAAGTAGGGAATCCTGATCCGGATGTGTTGAGGACTCGCAAATACTGCGAGCAGTATCGAAGAGACCATCAAATTGCTACCTTTTGGGACTAATCCACTGGACAAGTCGCCCATCGTCGCGTATTGATATTCCTCGAGTCTAGTGCAACAAGATGCACAGCATCATGCAAGGCCTCATAGAGAAACTTGGTGGGTTCAGGTAGATCCTCACCGCTAAGGCTCTTGGTAAGAAGACATGTTTCTTTGTCGTTGAGAAGGAGGCCAATCACCGTTTCCATGAGGTATGAGTCGAACAAGATTCGCGGGCGACTAACTAGAATTCTGAAAATTAGCTGACCTTCTCAACCAAAGATATAGCACTAAGTTGTTGGTCTTTCAACCTCGATCTGTCACTGACTCGTAAAAGAGCAAGAAGTGCTCTTTAATGGCATTTTCTGGTTTGCATTTTCCTACTTGTCAACCCCAAAGTTTCTTCCAACGTACGACTTCCACGTCGGCTCGAACAAAGGTTTGGGCAACAGCCTTACAAACGTTGAAAAGCGGACGAAGATTATTCTTCACCACGTGTTCCCACCCAAGCGAAGGATGCATGGCGTTCATATTGTGATCCTCCTCGAGTATCATATGAAATATTTTACTCTTCGCACCATCAGGGTGTTCCCTGGTCCCATGAAGTCCATTTTTCTCCGTCTTGTGTACCCGATTGGATACGTCGTTTGATCCGGTACTTGGGATGCCGACTCTCGAGCTCTTGCAACATGCATTCGAATTCGCGCTGATAGATGTATCTATGAATTCTTAGATGAAGAGCACAGCCTTTTAGGGCGTATTGTGATACAGCTACAACGCCAATAGAGAACCCGAACTAAGAGATATAGTAAGACTAAGGTGGCCCTCATACAGTGATGAAATTCGGTGTATAGAGGAACACATGTACATATTCGTTGGGGCATCTTATAGGAAGATATTATCTATATATCATTCGATCTGACAAGAAACACGAATTCAATGACTGTCTATTATCATAGTTCTATTATACAACCATACAAACACTAGTGAACGACGACGACCTCATTTGAAAGATGGTATTCGTCGGAGAGCAGCGAAAAAGCAAAGGACACCGGAAACAACAGTCAATAAAAAAAAGCAATACAATAATTAGATGTATGAAACAATAAGAAAAGAAAAACAGCGGAATAAACACGCATAACTAAATCCCAACCAGACACCAGAATCAGGAGTCTCCTTAAAAAACAAACCCAGACCCTTTCCCGAACCCATCCATACCCAAGGCAATCCCTAGTCCAACCCTCTATCAATTCCATGGATGCAGTTCCTCATCTGATCGTGTCTCGGTAATGTCATCCGCAAGCATTTAACAAAAGAAAATGGGGGTGTTGCAAAAGCGAGATGACATGTTGAAACAAAACAATAAATCGCAGATTTGGAAACACGATCAGACCGTCCGACTCCTTCCAGTGCGCTGGTTTCCCATCAATATAAGTACAAACGGATAAGAAAAATGCATGAAAAACAAAGGAAATAAGAAATCAATCGAGAGGCATAGATGTATTCTCTCGTGGGAATCAAGGGGCTTATGCAATGAACCTATTAGACAAAGGAAATAATGGAAAATTCAAAGCTCTTGCGAGACAATGGCAAGTATGAGCTGCGAATCGCATCATACGGCCGTGGACCATGTGTGGTCACCTCGGGGCTTCATTTCGTAGTTCTCCGGCTCGGTGCTGGTAGGCCGGCGAATGGTAGAGTTGGGGAAGTACATATGCGGCGGCATCGATGTCGGGTACGCGGGGCCAGTGGGTTCAGGGTAAGTGAAGTCGTTGGCTGATCCGGGCGACGGCATGCTACCGTGAGATGGCGAGGCCCATCCAAGACTGGTCATGTGTGGGCTGCCGTTCACGCTATTAGGGCGGTGATCACTGTTTGCCGGGGGCTCAAGAGGTTGAGGCGGAGCATATGGATGCGAGGTCATAGATGGCCGGGTGTGAGGCGCACTGCCGTAGCTGGACAGCGAAGGAGAGGTCGCAGTCGGGGAAGCCCGGGGGGCTGCCTTGGGGGAAATCGCTACGCACATGAGGCGGGATAGGACCGGTGCCCATATAGTAGTCGCCGGCAGAGCGATGCATGTTCAGCGGCGGGAGCTCACCACCAGGTGACATGGACGGGTGTTGCGCGGGTGACGGCGTAGAATGGATGGAAGCGTGCTCGGAAAACATTCCCTCGCCAGGGCGTCCACGATCCTTATTTTGCCGCAACTGGGCCTCTGTTTCAGCAGCGGCTTCTTCAATGGTCCCAGTGTGGTGATTTTGGTGGCGTGTCAACGTCGTACGGCGCGTGAAGGTCTTCTGGCAGTTGGCATACGGGCATTTGTAGGGCCGCTTGCCAGAGTGAATGCGGCGGTGCCTGGCCAGCGAAGACGAGTCGCTAAAGGGCTGAATAAATGTTAGATCTAGCCAGAGCCAAAAGAGGAAAAATACACACCTTGCCACATCTCTCACACATATGGGGCTTCTCTCCGGTGTGTACACGAGAATGTACTGTCAAAGCCGAGCGTTGGATAAACTGCTTTCCACATCCTGGCCACTCGCAAGCATGGGGTCTAACTCCGGTATGAATACGCTCTAATAAATTGTCAGTGGCGGCATCTCCGAAACTTCTGGAGGATATACATACCATGTCGGGCAAGGTCACTGCGCCGTGCGAAGCCCTTGTTACAGGTTGAGCAGTGGAAAGTCTTTGGCGGTGGTTCGATTCCGGCTCTTCCCTGTGGGACAGGCTCCTGCTGCATCTGGGGATCGCCAGCGTATCCCGCGGGGGCATAGGCCATGTTTCGAGGGGTTGAACCCGTGGGCTGTGCATAATAGAAGGAATCGGCAAGTCCGCCATCCATTTGCATGGGCGGAGGGCCGTGAGGAGGGTATGCGTTGACAGGGTTGTCCGAGCCACCTGATTCGCTCTTCATGGTGGGCGAAGCTCCGGTGTGTAACTGTGCACTCTGTTGAAAGTACTGTTGTTGTAACTGCGCTTCGGCGGCGGCGGCGGCGGCTGCGGAGTTTTTCCTGTTCAGGATGGTCGTGAAGTCCATGACCCGACCCAGCAAGTAGCAAAGGGACCGCGGTCAAGGACTGCTTTCGAAGACGTCCTTCGGCAGACCTTCCACGACTAGTATTCCGACGTAGTCCGATAACTTATTGGATTCGACGTCCTGTACGCGTAAGGACTGGTTGATATGAAGGGTGGCGGGTCGTTGGGAGGGAGATTCGGGTCACAAATGGCAAGCTCTGCAAGTCACGAAATAGTCAGAACCAGTTTTCGGTAGAGTCGAACGAGCTCGATTCTGCAAAAACTCCGCGAGCGCGCAATTCGTGGGAAGACCTTGGACTAGACACTCACCCTGCGTGAACCTGTATTACACGTAATGTCTTGGACAGTCCCTCAACGAAGAATGGGACGGGGTAGATTCTCCACTTTTCTGCAGTGGAATGCAAGGTTGCGTAAGAGGTATCGAAACGATGGGCTTTCTGCCAAAGAAAAAGCCAAGCTCAGGAAATAATGTTGTGGTCGGCTAAAGGCGGAACGCGTGATCGTTCGGTGAAGGGTGGAAGAAAGATAGGTCTATAGGTCTACCATCCCTATCAAGGTTTCTATTGGGGGAAAAAAGAGCTGTCAGCATGAAATGAAATATCACAATGGTTGCGATTCCGAGGTATTTCCATCGTGCTGTAAGCCCGTGATCTTCTTGCCTGTGCGCCTCGGTGGGGGAAGTTCCAGGAAAATGAAAAAGAAGCACAGATGGGGAAATTGTCCGTGTTCATGAAACCCAAGATAACAGCGCAGGCAGAGAGGGTTGGGCAGCCAAGGTGAATAGGCGGGATGCGTCATCACTGGCAAATCGCGGTGAAGGTAAGGAGTGAAGCAAAAACACACCTTTAGGAAGCTTGATGTTTCAAGATACTATGGTAAAGAATCCAAATAAAAAGAGGTTCGAGGGAAGTTAGGAAGTCGCGCAGACCGGTTAAGTGGGGGTAAGAGGAAAATAGACAAAGAAGATGAAGATCGAAGATGAAAAAAAGAAGAAAGGAAAGCGAAGGGTTAAAAAGAGTAGAAGATGAGAAAGGGGGGAAAGAAATAGAAAGAGGAAATATGATTATTACATTATATTTAGGTGATTTAGGTGTGGTAGGTGCCACTGTCTGCATCTTTTGTACATCATTTATTTACTTCTCTATTTTTTTGGGTTGATTTTTTGGGGTTTTGATTTAGTATTTTAAGTATTATATGTCCATATTTCAAATCTCACTTTGGATATATTGTACATTCATATACGGAGTAAATATATACCTCTTTCACATTTCGCAAGGTTATACTCCTATAATAATAACCATCCCCCAACAACCCAAGACTCCTAAACTCAAGTCCCTTTCTAGAAGGGCTAGTTCTCCCTAGTCGGACCCAGCGAAGCCCGCTAGAAGGAAACCTGGCCGCACCAGAAGGATCCACAACGTGCCCTTCCCCCCGTGCGAAAATGGATACAAAAGGCCGATCCGAACAATTTCCTTATTATTATCCTCGATATAGCCTCCTGAAATTTCTCTCGGGATATACCCTGTAAATTTGACGTCCATTCCCCAGACCAAGACCCAAATCAAGAATAGGATCGAACTAATAGAACTAAAATATGGAAGCCGTTAATAGAGTCCCATATACACCAGTATTAAAGGGGGGCCTGAACTACGACCCCTGAAGCTAAAAAAGAAAATATATCATTTTTCATCTGCCGGATTTTGCGATAAAAACACAAAGAAATAAAAATAAAGCCCCCAAAAAATCGAAACGGGAGACTTCGGTGATCGACCATGACATGCAGGTTTCTCATGGTGCGACACATGGAATGATTATACTTATTTTTATATTGGGAGATTACCTCGATAGCGCATCCCGACTATTGTTAGCCGAATATATCGCAAAATCGAGATTTACCTTCTAGAAGGTTTCCGTTATTACAATGGTAACCTGTAACCTGTAACCTGCACTCTGTACTCCGTACTCCGTATTCTATATTCTGTACCTCACGCAGCATATAGGTTACACGATTTACACTGATTGGTAGGACGAACTCACTTTCGACTTTTTATTCTCACCATCCTCTCCCCTCTTGTCTTATTACATGAACTCTGACGATCCTGCAGTGGAGCTAATCCGGTGTGCATCGGTAATTACACCCATCTCATCCGCCCCTTTTCCCTTCCGGGGGCACTAGAGGGCACCGGCTGCTTTCAGCCTCTGGGAAACCCACTCTACCACGAAAGACGGCACGGATGGCTCCGCCAAGCCTTCTCCTTACCTTCCAGAAGGCCGCCAGAAGGATTATGGAACATCCGTGGAAGCCGTGGAAGCCGTAGGAAGAAAAAAAAAGACATGCGCGGCCCCCCATGCTGCGCACGGTTCGGAGCCTTACCAGGAGATCCTCCCTGAGCCTGTGCACTATACCCTTCACATCGAGGGATTAATGTAAAGAAAAAAAAAAAAGAATTAGTTCAACACAGCCCAGCATGTCTCTGCCTAGAAGTAAAATAAAATAAAACATAAAAAAAGGGGGGTTGGGCACCAGGATGACTGGTCTAGTCATATGGTGCCCAGGTGACTTTCCAGGGCTATGTTGTTTTATTCCCTCTCCATTGGCATGATCACCTATCCTCTCACATACACTCTTTCTCACACACCTACCGTTCTCAGCCACTCACCAAGCTAACACACATCCCTGGCAATTGTGACGAAAGTGACGACACCCCATCATCCTGCATACTGCACCTGCCAAGTTTGGACTCAATTCGGATCCTGCGGGGAGTTGCGGAGATTATCTCCCCTCTACGATATTTTTTTTGTAAATACCGTGCAGATCCGTGTGAGGCCGAATAAACAGTACATTGGCATTTTAGGGATTTGATGAGCCAATGACTGGCAAGCTGATTTATTATAGTTCACCATTAACTATTTTTCCTTGATTTTGAGCAATCGCCAATAAAACACAAAATCGAACTAAGGCGGGTCAGGCCGATGCACATTGGATGGCTCGACACGGGGCGATTCCCACATGGTTGTGGCTGAGACGTGTCTTGGTGTATCATGTTTGCGCTAGTCTCCATATTTTCTATTAGTAGAACATTTTCCTTCAGCCTGTACTCCCGTAGGCCCCTGGGATGGAGCATGTCCTGTACAGGTCAATTTTGGGGGTGTTTTATGACTGCAAAGTTAGTTTCTGACAAATTAGGTGGAGTTATGGGATTCTTCCCTCCCCGAAGCCCCTAGGGGTAATCTATTAGCCTTGGAAGATCAGACATGCCCTATTTTGTCAACCTACATAGCATGATATATGTAGGAAAAACAAATATCCACAAAATCCAGGAACAGCCGCTGGCGCTATGACAAAAAAAAGGCCCATTTTCCCGTTGTCTTCTGACGCAGATTCCACTCTGATGTCACAACTCCTCCTGGGGAAATTGAGCACTGACCCCACTGATGTGCCTAACTCATCACACCAAGGTAAATAGTCACAGATAAGTCGACACTAGCTCGTCTCAGCTTGCTGCGCGAGTCCAACTGCAGAAACCATGCTAAATATCCCTGGGTAACACCCAAATATACTCCGTACCAAACACGTGGCGTAGAAGCTAATGCACATGACCCTGAAGCATTGCGTCGCACCATGCCCCATGCTCTCCACTGGGAGGTGACTCGATATGAAAGTAATATGGTTGAACATAAATACCAATGTAGACTGAAACAGCACTTTCCTTTCAATTCCCATCTCGCATTCTAGTCTTGACTGCCGGGAGACCCAAGATTGCGTATGTATCTGGTTTCGTTTGACGGAACTTGATCCAGGTTGCCGGGTCAACGTTAATAGTCTCTGTCCTTCCCACTCTTCCGAAGTATCAACTAGTTTTGGATTGTGTACTCCGTACACTGCAGCTAACTGTTTACTGTCTACTGCTTACTGTTTACTCCACTTGGTCTCACATCCGGTATATTGCACATAGTATCATTGATCGACATTCAACGCCGATCGATCTTCAGGGGTTCCATAGGATCTTCGCTGGGTCACGGCATTCCCCTGCGATGTACGGAGTACTCCGTACTAGATGTTACTACAAGCCGTTATTTTCTCCGGTGGATGGTGGTCAGATAGCACCCCGTGTGTTCGCAGACTTGAAGTGTAGATCCAGAAGTGTTTTGTTTCTTTCTCGATTTTGTAGCTCGCGGCTAGCAGATATATATATATGGCATCTTTGGTGTTATTGTTTAGTTCTAACATTATATTTAAATTTTCAAATAGGTAAACAAGACTCCAGTGATTATGGTTAGAAACCCGGTTCTTGAATATATATATTTTAAATACTTCCGTAGAACATATAGAACAACAAACCACATGTTTGGCACCTGTCGATCCGCTAGTCACAAAAGACCAAGAAATATGTATATACATATCCACATGGGATATGCAAGGGGGATATTAATCGGTTCCATGGTACAGCATAATGTCTATCGGGGAGCTATGGCCTCCAGAACTTTGGCGGCCTTGCTTGCCATGGTAGAGAGGCGGGTCTTACCCACCTGTTCCCTTTTTGTTCCCCTTCCCCTTCCCCTGCCTTGCTCTTGGCTTTATCATCACAGTCCTCTACGGATATTTAGTATACTTTGTAGACACCTGTGCCCAGTCCTATATTGAAAAGGCCCTAGCAGATCAGTGGACGATAAGGCCATTGCCCTAAATCAAAACTAGAACAACTAATTGAGACCTGTCAAGGCCAGCAGCCGCCAATGTACTCGAGAAGATCCTTCCTCGGAACTATATCTTCAACAACAGCTACAATCTTAAACACAAAAGATGACCCAAAAAGCATCCATATCACATTATTCAACTCATTAGAGTTAGACAGAAGGTGTATCTATCATCTATAAACAGCGAAACGAAACTCCATGCAAAGAGGCCTTCCTTTACCCTTGCGCCTGAAAGTGGGCTTATTGATCCAGCAGACCGCCGGGGCCCGCAGGCCTTATAAAGGAGCCCGGGCTATACACGTTCCGTACAGGTACAAGCCAAAACAAATTCATATTTATCTCATGCGCCATGACAGCTCCAAGATTTGATCACCGTTCTTCTCATCGCGCATGACATACCACTGAGTGACACGATCTTTCGGTTCGTGGACGGCATCTAGTAGCTGGTAGGTCTGTTTGTGCTCATCCTTGCGGCGCAGGGGACCCAATTCGTGTAGGTAAGATTCGTCATTGGCACCGTTGTGGGGATCCCAGGTCTGCTCCATGGCGATATCGTCCTGGTCCGGGTCGGCGTGATACTTGATGACTGAGAATCCGTTCGTTAGGATCCAGCCGTCGCCAAAGTGCCATTTGCGGAGGAGACAGCTGTCACCGCATAGCTCGGAGACCACGGCTAGCTTCGGCATATCGGCGTGGAACCAGGACTTCCAGTGATGCACCGTGAGCGGGGGCTCACGACCGGACTCGAAAAATCCAGAGGCGTCGTGCATCAGGTCCAGCTGTCGCAGACGGTGGTCTACCGTCAGTCGGGTCTGGGTGTAGCGGTACACGCAGATGGCGATGCGGCGATCGCCTGTGAAATCCATCGCAGAGCACTTGTCGTATACGTTGGTGATTTCCTCCAAAAGGGGTTTTGATAAGAAGACGCCCGCGCCTCCAAATCCAATCATTCCGAATGCCGCAATCTGCGGGATAGACTCTGACAATCCGCCAATATACATGGAGGTGGTGTGGTCGTATTTAGCCAGCGCGTCCACTAGTCTGGACATCGACAGGAAGAATGTGTCATCGTCAATGATACAGCCCCATTGCGTTGTTTCCCGGGCATTTTCCTTCAAAAGAGGGATAAGTGCGAAGTATCGGTTGAGGTAGTCATCGTCCGACTCTGTGATGTGGAGGTTAACCCCCAGAGCGTCGGCCTTGGCCTTGACATCCCGGATTCCGAACTCCGAGCGATCCGGTTCGATCAGCGCGAAAATACGAGTGCGCGAGTATCCAGCCCAGTGGGCGAACGCATCCAGAGACTCGTTCAATCTCTCGACACTGGTCGCGACTCCAAAATCGATGTGTGATGCGTTCGCCAATTTCGGCGCGTGAGGAACCTGCAAGGACATTGGTGTTGGAATTGAGCACCCGTCCGCTGCTCCCTCAGTTCCCTTCGGCTCTTCCAAGAGCGGCTGTTCAAGCCACTGCGTGTAGGGTACTGGTTCATCCGTCATATCGAGGACGATCTCTCGACGAGTGTATTGGGCGACTTTGAGAACATCCATGGATGCCAATTTTTCGTAATCGAGATCGCACGAGACACTAGGGGCGAGGGTGATGTTGGGAGCCGTCTGCAGCGGCAGCTTCACTGGCTCGCCTGGAGGCCATAATACGGCGATAAACCCTACCACGAACAAGAAGACAACTCCAAACCGCAGCACCTTTTTCCAGGCCCATGATGCCCCTGGAACGGACCCATCCCGGGCGCTGAATATCATATTTTGTGTTGTGAGGTTGTGTCCGGATTCTACCGCATTGCGGAGACAAAAAATTGGTCTAGAACACAATCAAGGGCCCACGGTAGGGGGATTGAAAGTGTATAAATATACCCTGATGGTTTGGAGAGGGTTGAGGAATAGGGATAGGATGAGGATGAGGATGAGGATGAGGAAAAAGAGAAAAAAGATTGAAATTAAAAGCCAAGGGTCAAGGGACGATCATGGTTCCATGGAAAATGGACAGGGCCAATTCTCTAAGGGGTCTGAGAGACGATCGATGACGTTGAAGGGGTCCATTTGGCGGGAGTCACGTGTGTACTCGTATATGCAGGATTCGGCAGCGAAATTGGTTGGAAATGATCTTCAGGTACGAGTTGATAGTCAGTATAAAAGGGACGACATAGATTCTATGACAATTTCTTCTCCATACTAATACTATCTAACATGATGATTCTCTAAACTCCTAAGGGTACAAAGTACAAAGTACTCCGTACGGAGTAGAGAGTACAACCATGCCAATGCCAAGACCTTCTAAGTAGCGATCTCGTTTTCTTACTCGTTTCTGATTCCTCCGGTCCCCACATCCGCGCGTCCTCTACCCGTGTGTAACTCCGTCCAGTTGGCTTTGACAGCCAAGACGCTATTTCTCTCGAGATAAGCACTACAATTACAACGGAGTAATATCCGGACGCCGGGTGTTGTATGATGTACTCGGCAAAGGTTTACATTTGATATACACTTTGGAGCCTCTTCGGTCCAGTTTGGTTCGCCCTTCTCACTATGCTCTCACTCCGCCCCACTCTCTTGATTGAAGATCCTTGGGTGATATTCCAGCCACTTACTCTTCTTTTCTTAGAACCTTTTGAGGCGTGGCCGATATGTACTTTGTACGTACTTTATCCTCCGTACTCCATACTCCGAATCTTATGGGGGTCGAGCCGACCTAGCCCAATGCCAATTTCAATCCTAGTGGGGCTTACTGGAGTCGTAAAAGAAAACGTAGGTGTCTTGCGCATTCATTGTGTGCATATTTCTTGTTATTTCTAGATTTCATCGTCCTCCGCATTATATCCTCCAAGATGCGTAGCTGGTAGTTAGCGTAGAGGCATTAGACGTTCATAAGTAGTAAGAATTCAAGTTAAATATACTCCGTACATAAATGGATATCATCAAAATTAACAAATGCATACATCGTGAAGGGTGAAGGAATCTCAAACAGGGACTGCCATGGCTTCTCCCTTCTTCTCCGTCTCCCCCGTGTTTTTGATAGTATGAAGTAACATAGATGGAAAACAGAGTGGTCCATACAAGTCCTCCCGCTAGAAAAAAAAGATGGCTGTTAGTTCAAATGGTCTCCGTTTCTCATATTTATGGGAAGTTATGAACTTACTAAGTCGCCGGTTTCAAACCAATTTCGACCGGCGCTATCTTGGTGCTAAATATAGGACAAGCGGTCAGCACGGAAATAAGACCTAATCAGCGATTCTAGACTCACATAGGTGCCATCGGTGTATTGATTAGGATCGATCGGGTAGCCTAGCCATCTCCGATATAAATCCTCCGCAGTTTGTGTTGTAAACATGTATGTCAATCGATAGAGAATGTGATCCCATAGATGGTCCCAGTTCCAGAGGCTGTCAGGTCCACCGTTGATCTTATTAGGTTCACCTAGGTTCATGATTCGGTTGATCTCCTTCGATGTCCATTTACCGTCAAGATAAAGAGGTTGGGGCACGTGGACGGCTTTAAGTCCATGCCAGAGAGCAAGCGAAGGAGGCGTCATTTCAGAAACCAAACCCATTCCTCGTTGGATCTGTATGATATGCATCTGGTGCAATAATTCCCTTGATACATGCCCCATGGCCACAGGGGATGTTCGCCGTGGAACATCTTCTGGAAGTCCCCATAGCAGATTCCTGAATAGCCATTGTGTATCAGTAGGATCGAAGATCGGGAGAAAGGTGATGAGATCTGCTTCTTCGCCAACACCCCATTCATACTTATCATCTTCTGGGAAAGCGACCGGGGGCTTGGGGCCTATTGGGGTTATTTGATGGATGCTAATAGGCCCCCAAACACTCTTTCAGCCCTTCATAGAGTAGCCAACCATTTTGATAAAGTCCTGCCAAATTCCATGTGCACCTGGAATGTATAAGTAGGCATTGCGCTCCCAAAGATATTTCCGCGGTTGTCGTTTTGCAAACTCCGCGGACTTTTCGAGAAAATGGTAAGAGTGGCCGGTGAATCTGGAATCCACTTCCAATTGCCAGTAATACTCAAAGTCCTGGAACACCTGAGAAAATATTTGAACCGGTTGCCAATACTGAAAATTTGCGCTGCGGGATTGCTAGGAGACCTGGCAACATTCAATAACTGTGGAATCGAAAAGGCATTATACCTGTGTTCCTCGACTCTAGGATACCATGATTTTAAAGTATTCTCGTTGAAAAGAACAACCATGTCCCGGAATTCGTGTGGAATAAACCGAGCCTTAATCTCCTTCATAACCTCGTCATCATCTGTATAGATCGGGATGCTTTCATCTTTGACGTGAACCAAGACGAAGACCTGATACTCGCCACCAGAGTGTAACGACAGCTCCGTGATAAGTGACCGGACCTTCTGTTTAAGGTTCTCGGTCCATTCCATGTCATGCCACGCACGTAGGATAACGGCTGATCTTGGTTTGTACCGTGAGCTATGTGGCGAAGAAGTTGGTTGATCACGAGGGAGGGTGCGTGCAGCAACACGAGGGTGAACTGGCAGTGTGAGCCTGATTGGGCGTGAATTGGTCTCACTTGGGGAATATCTTCCAACGTTCCTCTCAAAGCACTGTGACTGAAGTGACCCCCAGTTGGTCTCGTTCCAATTGACTCCAGAGGTAGGGTGAGTGGTATCACTCCCGTACCCGTACGCACCCAATCGAGAAAAGCGATTGGAACAGACATTTCCGTCGAGGCCCGTTGCCTGATACGACCCGAACATGGGTGCAGGGAAATCTATTGACTTGTTAAAGATACCTTGGGTTTCGGGAGAGCTAAAAAAATACCTTTTTGGTTACCTGGATAAACAGACATCATATCTTGGGCACTCGAGCGGCTCAGAGACTTTCCTCGCGGGCCCTCACAAACGTGGAGTCTCCCCGTAAACTCTTTGCGCCACTGCGCACTGTTGTACTCTGGATAAGGATCATAAATGACAGGGATCGGGGGATTAATATCGTCATTTTCGTGTGCCACTGTCAATGTCCCCCCACGATAGAATTTCTCTTCCCTATAGATAGCGAGTTAGGATATGATGTCAAGAATATATTGATAAACGACATGTGATAATATGTGGGGGAGATATGAAATAGTACCAGTTGGAAGACATACCGAACATCACGTAATGTTCCAGTCCCAACTGGCTCATGGGCAAATGGCGCTTGATCATCTTGTGGCCTCACTTCCAGCGAGCTCCTACTGATAATATCTCCTGGGTGGATAACGATAGACCTGGATGGCTTTATATTAGACTGTAAACTTAAAGAGATACACAGCAGATAGTTTTGCTTTTGATGCAGAATGCTGGCGAGGATGAACAATGATAGTAAGGTCAACAGCGCCAGATAACATCCTCGAGTGTAACGGCGAAACGAGTTCACCGAATTTTGCAGAGAAACTGGAGATTTGTCCGTGAAACGCATTGAAAGAAAGTTGCAAAGAGAAGAGAGGTAAAATGAGTGAAGGTGATAATTCAGAAGGCGCCTGGCCGGACTTCGCTGCATCCGCATGTCTTACTCAAGCACCGAAGAAGCTGGCGGGGCTGAGATACATGTCAATCTAACGGATTATTAGTAGCTTCTAATGTTGGACCAAGACGTGAGAGTGTTTGCGACGAGACGTATAGTAGACACTGCGTAGGGTAGACCATGCTCGGGTACGACAAAAATAGGAAAGTACCTGCTCTAGGTATTCTACGACCGTAAATGCATGTATATAGCTACAGATAGCAGCTTAGTCGCTTATGGCTGGTGTATTTAGTCCGTTCTGTCTAGAGAATGGGGCTCAGTTGCAAACAGTACGAACTTATGACTCCAATTAGCAAGTTGGTTGATGGTCTTTATTCCAGCCTATTCTTTATAAGAAATATGTCGGGACCTCAATAATACTGAGGTTGTAGATGGTTGAAGTATAAGTATGAGGCAATCCATAAAACTGATGCCTGAGAAAATAGGCATTCAACATGATATGGAGGCCTTAATGGCCAGATACCCATATTTTTTTTGATAGGATTAGTAGAAGTAATTACAAACAGCAAAGGAGATAGATTAATAAGAGGATTGGGAATAAATATTGAATAGGATGATAATCATGATATGGACATAAATGGAATCGAACCTTGGAATAGGACACGTGAGCTACGGTGGGGCACACAGCGTTGAGTGCAGAAACCCCCCATCGGGGAAAGACCAGTTCCGCACATTGGAGGATATCAGTTGATCTGGGGAAATCGGCAAAGGTGTTCTTTGTATAAATCTTGCGATTTTATCTTGTATCTGAAATTGAAGTTCCAGTCTTCTTCACTCCCCTAATACCCTCTCGAACTTCTCGACCAACCCCCGCCATGGTTGCGCAATCGCTGGCCTCGCTATTGCAGCGGGCATCGATTGACGACCACGAGGAAGTCCTCCAGTCGTGCAATGCAGTCCTCGCCAAATCCAAATCCGATTTGCAAGCGCAACACATGAAAGTTGTTGCTCTATTGAAACTCGACCGTTACGAAGAAGCTCTCAAGACATTCCAGGCCGGAGGCGATGCGCTGAAGCAGAGTGCAAGCTTGGAATATGCATATGCATCATACAAGTGCGGGAAGCTTGAAGAAGCCACAGAAGCCTTGACTCGGACAGCTTCTGGGTGTGGTGCTAGTCACCTCGAGGCACAAGTGGTATGGCATCTTATCTTTCCTTCTGCTGTTTTGGGGACCAATGTTGATTGTCTTGTCGTAACAGCGCTATCGTGCCGAGAACTTCCGACGGGCAGCTGAGATTTACGAACAACTTTCAAAGGATACGACATCTTTCGGCCACGAGATTAACGACCTGAACATCAATTCGTGGGCTACCGATGCCCAGCTTCAATGGAAAGGAGAGACGGAATTCGTGCGCCACGACCGATTGTCGAGGGAGGATTTGGAATCATTCGAAACAACCTACAACGCAGCTTGCTTGAATATTGCAAAGGGAGCATTTAAGCAGAGCGAGGTCTTGCTTAACCGAGCTCAAAGTTAGCATGCCACCATCTGGCCTAAGACTAGGACTTACACTGACGTTTTGCATAGACATCTGCCGGACATCGGAAGATCTTTCACCAGAAGACAAGGCCGCAGAGCTGCTGCCAATTGCTGTTCAGCAACTCTATGTCTTGATTCAACTTGGAAAGTTGGAAGAGGCCGAGGTGGTTCTCAAAGATATCGCAGTGGATGAGTACGTTGAATCATACCAACTCGAAACTTATAACTTACATCTTTTCCTAGCATCACCGAGTTATCAACCAAAAAGATTGCTCGCAATAACATCGTCCTCGCTCGTCCAACTGCCGTCAATCCCTACATCCTATACAAGGCCCTCCATGACACCCCAGATGCCACCGATAACGATCGGCTATTCGAATTCCAGGACCGCGATCTGGTCGGCAACTCACACGCCGCAGACCTCCTTGTCCAGAAATATGATGGCATAATCCGATCCACAACCAAGGCACAGTCAAAACGTCCAAGCCCATCTACCGACGCCATCACCAACCTTCTCTCTGTATACAACGCCGCAGCACACGCCCAAGGCGAAACCGGCCCTAAAGCCCTTAAACAGATCGCTCCATTGCTGGAGCGACGGCCCACAGACATCGGGCTTCTTTTGACAGTAGTACAGCTCTATGTCAGCAGCGGCAACACCACCTCTGCTATCACAGCCATGGAGCGAACACTCCGCGGCCTGGAGGGGTCAAACGAGTCCGTCCGCTTCAACCCAGGCCTACTCAGCGTTCTAGTCTCCCTGTACCAGCGTGAAGGTCGCTTGGTCCAGATCCGCACCACCCTCGCACAAGCCGCCTCCTACTGGCGCACGAAGCCCGAGCCTCCCGCGTCCCTCCTCCGCGCAGCAGCCGCCTCCCTTCTGCACTCCGAAGACCGCGGAGACCTATCTACAGCGGGTGATTTGTTCCGTGCTCTGCACCAGCAAGACCCCAACGACCGCGTCGCCATCGCCGGCTATGTCGCCTCACAAGCCACTCTGGACTATGCCCGGATTGAGTCCGAACTCGACCGCCTGCCGGCAGTCAGCGACCTGATCGCCGACATCGACGTTTCAGCTCTGGAGTCAGCTGGCATCTCGCCCTCTGCCTCCTCGGTTGCCGCAGCAGCTGCTGCCTTTGCTGGTGCCCGCAAGCGCACCGCAGCTAACGCCGACGACCGCGCCAACAAGCGTGTTCGCAAGTCCCGTCTGCCCAAGGACTTCGATCCCGCCAAGAAGCCAGACCCCGAGCGCTGGCTGCCCGTGCGTGACCGCTCTTCTTACAGGCCCAAGGGCAAGAAGGGTAAGCAGCGTGCTGCGGCACTCACGCAGGGTGGTCCTGTCAATGAGAAGGCAGAAGAGTCTCCCGCTCCACAGCAGCAAAAGTCCGGCGGTGGCGGTGGTGGCTCCAATGCTAAGAAGAATAAGAAGAAGGGCAAGCGATAGAGTAATTTTATTCAGATAGAGACCATAGCTTGAATGCTACCTATGATGCATGGAACACAGGCATGTATTTTGTATTTCATATGGAATGGCGCCTTAAACCCGAGACGGGCAGTAAAATGAATTCTCACTGGCTGGTTTCAACCCCTACGACTCCGATTATTCTATAACTTCGGGGGTAAATGACCCCTGTAGAACCAGCTCAAAGCAACCTCGAGAAACCCCTGGACGGATACCCTAATTCATACTGCTTGTTGAGAAATCGACGCTCAACCCAGCGGAGTCCGAATGGTACCACACTGGCGGTTATAGTGGTCAAAGATCATAAGCAGCAGCCGCAGATCCATGAAAGCGTCGTCGGCAGTCGTTTTCGCCGCCAAAGCACCACCAACCAGATAAGAATGCAGAGCCAAGAATTCACGCTCATACGCCTCGTTACAGGTACTAACGGTCTCCGTCCGCTTCACACGAGGACCAGGAACAGCAGCATTCTTAGTCTCGTTGATCTGATTTCCATTAACCTGATCCATCTCCATCGTCTCATCCGCTTCCTCAACGACAACCCGCACATAGGTACCAGTGCTGATCTTCTCGCCCGGACGTGGGAAGTCATACTCCACGCTGAGAGTCTTGTGTGCGCCATAGACAGTCAAATGGGCGTCGCAGCGAGGCACAGCATCAACACCAGCCTCATAGAGGAGCGTGAACGGGTGGCCGTCATTCTCAGCGGAATTTGTATAGTGGAAAATAGCAGAGTAAAACGGGTCCGTGATAGCGACGTTGGAAACAGCATCCGGGAATCCCAACGACTCGCGCATCACCGATAGATCATGGCACCCCATCATACCGAGGTAGCGACAGAACGCGACTCTGTCCGGGGTGAGGTCTTCCTCCAAGCCGAAGACGTCTTCCAGTAGCGCGCGGAATTGCTCTGGGTTATTGTTGCTCTTCATTGTCGGTATGATGTCTTTCGATGCGGACGCGACGCTGTTGTCTATATTCATTGGGCCGGCGATATTTCGACAGCGCGCGTAGTACACGCGGCCCAGGGCAGCAAGTTCTTTCTTGAAAACTTCCGTGAAGCAGGGCGCGTAGCGGCGAGCACATCCGACGCATACCTTTGGTCCGTCTGTTCCGTTGATGCCATCGAGGGATCGGGAGGCTTTGCCTTTTTTGATTGCTCCGCGGATGCGGCGCAGGCTTGAGATGCTCATTGTGAGGGGGACTTCGACCATTACATCCTTGCCGGCTTCGAGGGCTGTCACGGTGTATTGCTCGTGGTACTCTATTGGGAGTAGATTGAGGATAACGTCCACTTCTTTATGGAGTAGAACATCTTCCACGACTGTTGCACTGTGTGTAATGTCGAAGCGGGCTTGGCATTGTTTTGCGATTTCGGGGTTGGGGTCGTAGATAGCTGTGAGAGTGTAGTGTGTATTGAGAGAACGGAGGACCGGGAGGTAGGTGGCTTGGACAGCGTTTGTGGCACCTAGGATCCCGAGGCGGAGGACAGGGGTTGGCATGTTGGGGGAGAAATTAGGAAGCTGTAGATTGGATGGGTAGAGACAGAGGGAAGCTTAGATATGACCGGGGCTTTTGTTATAGATGAGCTGAATGATATCTCAGGTATCTCAGTGATTAGGGAGTTGGGAGTGTGAAAGTGAGCTATGCGCGAAAATTAGAGTAAGAGGGATGCTTGATGCTTGACATGATTTTGGAACAAACAAAGAGAAGAGGGTGTGTGAGGTGAGGTGAGGTGTGTGCCATTTCAAGGGACATCCCTGGACCATGCCAACTTTGTGACATCATTTGCCCACACCTCCGTGATCCAAGACCATATTTCATGGTTCAGGCTGAGTTTTACCCCGGATTTGATCCAATACCAATAAGATCGGTTGCAATTAATATAGCAGGTTGTAGCAGGTTGCAGGTTATCTGCCGATCCTGTATAGATATATGGCTCAGGCTATGTGTACAATAGATATTGGTTGGAAAAGGTATCATAGCGTATAGTGAAAACGGGGCATACTCCTAACATAGACTTACCTGCCTAGAATAGTAACCTTATCATACCTACCTGTAGGCCTTTTTGAGCGGTCTCTGTAAGAACATGGATGTAAGAACAAAAATAAGAATTATCCACCCGATGGCTTCCGTTCTAGAAAAGTGGGGATGTGGGTCGTAGCCCTGGAGAACTATGTACTTTGGGCGAAGTAGCAGAACCATCCCATAGAGTAAATAGTAATAGAACTATATAATTACAATGGCTCAGTATTCCTCGTTTACTGAACCCTAGGGCCTTATTGGATCATGGAGTTTCTAACAAGTGAGAGAGAGAAAGAAAGACAGTTGAGTTCCCATATTTGCGGGACCTATCTCTATATATTCACTTGGCCAATACGATGATGGCCTAATTTGAAGCGCACAAAGAAAAGTAAAACAAAGGCCTAATATCCACTGAAGATACCATACAACGAACTGATTAATCTCATTGGGGCCTTTTACAATCGTTCTAAATTTAGTGTGACGATTCTTAACTTTATATTTTGTTTGTCTGCTAGGTTAGGTCGAAGCACGGGCGCTGACAACCAATGCCTCGCCATACAAACTCACATCATACCCATTCTCTTCCAAATATGCTTTGAACTTGGCATCCTCTGTCTCTAGCTCGCGAGACATATCCGGGATGAGGAACCAGGCAATCAGACCACCCACCACTGTGAAGGCTGCACCAATTAGGAAAACTGCTTGCTGGCCCTTGGCGGTGGTACCGAAGGAGTTCTGGATCGGGGTGAAGACTTCTGTCCCGATCGATGCTCCGGCTTTGCCAACTGCGGCTGCGAATCCCAGGAAATGACCACGGAGCGGTGTTGGGAATGACTCCGAAGCACAGAGGAACGTCGAGACACCAGGGCCCATCTCGCCGAGTGCTTGGAAAATGCCATACATGACTACAAAAAGCGGGAAAATACTTTGAATAGGTTGGAGCGCAGCGCCCAGAATAAATCCCCATATAGCCCAGATCATGAATCCCAGGGTCATGGTCTGTTTGCGGCCGATTCGATCCATGAGGATACCACCAAGCAAGCATCCTGGAAGATAAAAGCAGTTGATAACGGTCTGTGAACCATTTTGTCAGTTTAAACATCCAAAAGAACAGTGATATGGTGACCTACCCCGTATCCGATGTTCTGAACTGTGGTGTTGTTGGGGTTCAGCTGCTCAATTATGGTGGACGAGAACAGACCGAATGGATATGTGACAAAGTCGTAGCAGAACCAAGCCAGGGCTAGAACCATCTCACATAACACATTAGCCAAAAAGCCTTGCACAATTTAGCCAAGCTAAACGACTTACATGTTCCAAGCATGGGTTTCCAGTAGCGACGTAGTACTAGCCCGTAGGGATACTGCGACTTGATAGCATGCTTTTGATATTGAGTAGAGTTGACCATCCGAACGCGGAAGAAACATATTGATAATGGCAACTGATCCCAGTGTCAGAATCGTTAATCACTAACTTTATGAGGAAGTGACTTACCACAATACCCAAACCGAATGTAACTCGCCAGACCCCTTCGGAGTTTTGTTGGCTATAACATGCAAGAACAATAAGAGCAACCAAGCCAGCTGCAACAAATCCCTGGGTAAAGTTAGCAAGGCCCTCATCCAGCTCGTGCTAGTACTGACCAAATCTATAGCAAAATCGGTGGTCGCTGCGACCAAGAAACCACGTCGCTTCCGGAGCTGGGCTGTCTCATCGGCAGCCTCAGTAGCACTAGTGGCACAAACAGGATATTCTCCCCCAGCGCCGAATCCTGCAATGCCTCGTGCAACAATCATCATCCAAAACATTCTTATTGCGGCGTCAGTAATCGATTTCAATCAAAAGTTTGAATTACTTGAATAAGCATACCCTAGTTGCGACTTTCCATGTGAGGCAGTTGCCAACACCACGCCAATAATGAGAAACGCCGTTGCGGCGACGATACCAGTCCGACGACCAATGCGGTCAATTAGGACGCCGAAGAAAAGCATGCCAAATATTTCACCGATGAGATATGAGTTCGATAGGCGCGACTTTATAGTCGAAGACATTCCGTCCATGTAGCTGGACTCATCAGTGAACTTGGCCATAATTATTTCGGAAACTAGGCTACTCACAGGACTGAGAATAAAGGCTCCATATAACCAACTACCACGCGGTTAGTACATAAGACAGGATGAAGATATTTTTGGAGGGCGAGATTAACACGTACTGATTTGAGCGTTGTATCCATCACTGAACAAGGCCAACCCGGAAATCACAACATTGAGCACACCCGAGCGTTTCTTCTGGGGTTCTCGTTGCTCGATGTCCCAGTCGGGTTGCGAGACTTGCTCCTTGGGATCTTCCATCTTCATGACAGAGTCACTGGGAGATGTAGCCATAGCCATATTGACAAGGGTACTGAACAAGCCAAAGAGGACATGTTCCCAGTGGGAATATATTGATATCTATAGAAGTATCTTTGATGGCTCTAACAATGAATTGCCCCCAAAAGAGACCAATGATAGCTTAGAATAAAGACACGATAGTCTCGGGGGGAAGTGCGAGATATGCTTGTGGGTATATAGTACTAAGTAGGGGCCTGAGCTCCCTCTACCTTAGGTCCACAGGTACACAAGTGTATAATAGAGCTTCACAGGTACACAAGTGTATAATAGAGCTTCATAGTTTCGGCAGTCCCATGGTTTTAGTTGGCAGCTTTCTCACAAGCATGTCTTGGCAACCCCCACATAGTCTCTGGGGCTTTAGTCTCCCGAAGTCATTACCCGCCAAACCTATCGGAGCTTATCTTTCAGCCATGTGCTTGAGCACAGTCTCCCGAGAGTCTTGATCTCCGCCATTACCTGAAGGTTAAGCCTATCGGAGCTTATCATTTACTCATGTGCTTGTGCATTCTATATCGTGGATCTATATCCCGTCTTGTTCAAAAAGCACTCATCTCGGTGCGAAGAGCGACGCCTTAGGACTACCATTGCGGCGACTTACTTCTCGATCTATCTACAAAATGCGAGCCCCTGAGCACCCCAAAGTTTCACGATCGCGTTCTATTCTGTGTTTCTACTTGGGTCAACCCGTAACAAAATGAATAATTTCCATTACTCGCTCTCTGTTGAGCAACTTCAGAGTTTCCAGGAGTGTGGATACCTGCTGGTCCGCGGTTTTTTCACTTCTGAAGAATCGGAGCTGTTGCGAGAATGGGCGCAGGAAGTCCACGATCTTCCGTGTACCCCTGATGTTCCCTGGATGCCCTACCAAGAGGTGAATTCGAAAGGCAAACGTGTGCTGTGTCGCACTGAAAACTTTGCCAACTCGCATGTCGGATTCGATAGTTTTCTCCGAGGGCAGCGTGCAACAAGTCTTCTACAACAGCTTGCAGGAGAAAAGATGCTTCTCTTCAAGGAAAAGATTAACTACAAGTTGGCAGGAAGTGGTAAGTAATGTTCGATCTTATAGCCCTGATTCGATCACTCACCTGTTTCATAGGTGGTTTTGATCCTCATATTGATGCTAATGCCTACACCCATGTTAAAAAAATCAAGCATTTGACTATCCTTGCGGCAGTCGATGAAATGAATGCAGCCAATGGTGGTCTAGAAGTGGTGAACGGTAGCCACCGCATGGATATTCCTCTCGGTAGCGATCGCTGCATTGCGTCAGATTGGGTCGAAAGCAATGTATGGACACCCGCCGAGCTTGAACCAGGTATGCAAATTGCAAACTCTCCAACAGATCCATCGAAGTTTCATTAATAAGAGTAGGTGATATCTTGATTTTTGGCTCGTACCTGGCCCATCGCAGTGGTGCCAATGTGAGCTCGAAGGATCGGCGTGCGATCTATGCAACGTATAACTGTGCCGCCGAAGGTAATCTGCACGACCAGTACTATTCCGACCGTCAGAAGCTCTGGCCTGCAACACACATGCGGGAAAACGGACAGTCATATGAGGAAGGCCGTGCACGATATGCCTTTGGATCCCCTATGTTAACTGTTGACTCTGAGGCCATCCCGGCGTGATCGGTGGAGGTAAACTGTACGTTATACTTAGTAGCAAGTAAAAAGTCAAAACCATGTGATCTAAAGATACTGTAGCAATGATATTAGTCAAAAGCAAAACGACTGGAATGTATGTACAAAGTATGTGCCGATAAAATTAATTGGCCTGGCCCACGCCAAATTCGCGTGGGGGACCACCGGCATGATGACCGAACATTTTAGTATATCCTCCAGGACTCCAACTGGACCGAAAATGTAGCGGAATGACTCTGGCGTATATAAATGCTTCCTTCCACCTCGTCTCTTTTTCACCTTTCTTTTGTTCGCCCGGGTCTTGGTTCTTTTTAACGTTGCTACTATTCAATTCAATTGCACCATGAATCAGCAGTCACCCAAGGAAAAGGCAGAGGCCCTGATCGGGGCTCTAGAAAAGTATGGCCAAGGTGACTACATCGGAGAGTCGATTAGCCAGTTAGAACACTGTTTGCAGGCGGCTCATCAGGCCCATAAAGCGGGTACGTGTTGTTCTCAAGATCTCTCATAACTAGCCACTAACATTCTGCTAGATGCTCGTGATGAGTTGGTAATCGCGGCTTTATTACACGACATTGGTCAAATTATTCCGCTAGAATCCACGAAGGAGGTTCGCATGAATCTTGGCGAAAGCACGGAAAATGTCGGCCGGGTCGGCCATGAAGCCATCGGGGCATCATATCTTCGAGCTCTTGGATTCAGCGAGGCAGTGTGTCGCTTGGTAAATAGTCATGTCGCAGCTAAACGGTATGTGATCCTTCACATGTCTTTTGCAAACCTAGACTCACCTTTTAGGTACTTGACTGCTACTGACCGAGGGTACTACGAGTCTCTATCATCTGCCTCACAGAGATCGTTGGCCTTTCAAGGTGGCCCCTTCCGAGATGGGGACCTCAAAAACTTTGAGGAAGATCCGCTTCGAGACGACATGGTCTCCCTTCGATTGTGGGATGATGCAGCGAAATTGGAGGGAGTTGAGGCAATCACACCCCGTGCTGGGGTATATCTGGACATGATAATCGCACATTTACTTCGTGAAAAATGAGGGAGTTATAGTCTACCGATGAAATCCGACCTTGGATGCCTGTTTACATGTCGGATTTTAGCTAGAAAGGGGAAACACGTGGGGTTTTCCCCCGTCCACTGTTCACTGAGTATGTAATCATCATGTCGAGCCTTTGGAGGTATGAAGTACTTAATGACGACCCTAAGCATAATCTTACGGGAGGCGAGAAAATCCCGGCTGCGGCCTAAAATCGTAATATGTATAGGGCTGCATAGTTACATTGACCCGGTGACTTCATAGAAGGTACTTGGAGGTACTTTGTTTGTTAGTAAAGACACGTGTGGGGCAAAGTATCCCTAAGTACCCGGCGTATACAGCTCAGCCTCACTTGGCCGACTTAAGAGGGGCTATCCACATCAGGCAACGTCATCGAACCGTGGATTTCTCCTCTCGTGATACTCCGACTTCTGTGTCTTACCCTTTTCTCTTTTTTCCATCCAGTTTTATCATGGGTGTAAGCCTTCCAGATTCCTCTTTCCGCAACTCCTAGAGAACCCCTCAATCTGACCCATCATCTTTTAGTTCGCTCAGAAAATCGCGGCAGCTCAGAATAGCCAGAACATGGCGAACAGTGGCTCATATGGAGGTGCCCCTCCGTCAGGATACACTGGGGGTCCTCCTGCAGCCTTGCAGGCTGGTGGATCGGTAAGTCATATGTCCATCTCTGCACCTTTCTGCTATGACTCGCAGTTCGACGTCATAGAAAAAATAGAGGAAATGTGTTAAAACGTTCTCAGAATCAACAGCCCCAATACCAGGCTTATTCAGGATCCCCAGCCCCTCAGGGATCGGTAAGCCATATTTTTTCTTAACTTCTCTTTTGCTTGTGTTTTTTCCCCCCACTTCCACGATTTACCCCTCCACGGTCATCATTATTCTGGAACCATGTCGGCACCTTACCAAGGCTATCCATACGGCGGCTCATCTCAACAGAATCCATCATCTCCCTATTCCAGGCCTCCGCCATCCACACCTTACCCCGCTTCTCAGCAACCTCAGCAACCTCAGCAATCCCAGCAATCTCAGGGCTATGGCCGCCCACCTCCACCCCCACCACAAGGCCAGCCCTATGGCTCCGCTAGTTCGCCTTACCCGGGCCAGCAACCGGGTCAGCCCTATGGCTCTCCTAGCTCGCCCTATCCAGGACGACAGTCTGCACAGTCGCCCTATCCTGGTCAACAGCAAGCTCCACAGTCGCCCTATCCCGGTCAACAGCAATACCCAGGACAACAACAATACCCCGGACAACAACCGTACCCTGGACAGCAGCCATCATATGTACATAATACCCCCTGCCCTGCATCACTGCCTGTTTTTATGTTTGCATTTGACTTTGCGTTTTGTTGAATGCTTAATGGCCGGAGAAGAATGCTAACGGAAAATAGAACCAGGCACCCCCCTACCCTACCCAGGGAGCTCCATACCCTGGTGGTCAAGGCCGTCCTGGACCCTCACCTGGACCACCAAGTGGACCACCACCAGGCCAGTATGGCGCACCCGGTGGCGCCCCTCAGTCTGCAGCTCCCCCAGCTACCCAGCAGCAAGTCGCAGCTTATCGATCGCTTTTGATTTCCACGATTCAGGAGAAGAATCTCCAAAGCTTCTACCCCCCGGAGCGACTGGACCGGCTTGTTCAGACGCTTGCCGCTGAAGCACCGGGCAAGCTCAACAGACTGATTCATGAATGGGCTGTGCCCATGGAGGTTGCGACCGACGTCATGAAGCTCGCGCTGTTCGACGTGGTTCTTTACGTCGATGATAGTGGTTCCATTGAATTTGAAGAGAAGGGTCTCCGAAAGGATCAACTCAGACAGATCCTCGGTATCGTGGCTACTGCTGCATCTACCTTCGACCAGGATGGTATTTCTGTCCGTTTCATGAACTCCAGTGAGGTGGGCGACGGCATCCGCGACGCAGATGATGTCAACCGCCTAGTGTCCCGAGTCCGTTTCTCGGGCCTGACCCCCCCTCGGCACCAACCTGAAGAGCAAGGTCATCGACCCGCTGGTTGTTCAACCCGCCCGGGCCAACCGTCTTGAGAAGCCCGTGCTGGTGATCACCATCACCGACGGACAGCCTGCTGGCGAGCCTCACGGTGCTGTGGGTGATGTTATTCGCTACGCAGTGGAGGAGACGTCTCGGACCCGTTATGGCCCCGGCTCCGTATCCTTCCAGTTCTCGCAGGTGGGAACTGATCAGCGGGCCCGCGACTTCTTGGGCTCTCTGGACGAGGACCCTCATATTGGCCACCTGATCGACTGTACCTCCAGTAAGTTCCACGTGGAATTCATGGTGGATCCTAGCTAACGCGGTGTTCTAGACTTCGAGGTTGAGCAGGATGAGATGGCCCGTGCTAACCCACCAGTGCATCTCACTCGCGAGCTTTGGGTACGCCATTCATTATGTTGATCATTGCCTAGTATTGAACTGACTGTCTATGTAGTGTGCCAAACTGATGCTTGGTGCTATTGATTCCTCCTACGACACCAAGGATGAGCGAGACAACGAACGTCGCAATGCACCCCCACCTGCATCGGTAAGCCAGTACGGAGGAGGAGGTTATGGACAACCGCCACCCCAGGGTCAAGCCCAGCCTCCGTATGGTCCGCCCCCTGGTGCCCCACCAGCTCCGTACGGTTCCCAGTCGGGCTACCCACCGCAGGGTCAACCAGGTCAATACCAACAGCAACAGCCTCCCCAGCAACCTCCCTACCAGGGCTCGCGTGGCTATGGTCAGCAACAAGGGTATGGATCGCAGCCTGGATCTGGTTACCAGTACGGTGGACAGCCACGTTATTGATGGAATGTGATGTCATACGCTTAGGCTTCCGTTAGTTTTTTTTTCGCCTGGAGGCTTGAGGGAAGATTGTGGTTGGGGGTTTGTCATTTGACCCCACGTACCTAGGCAGTTTCCATGAATCTCAATTGAACTCAACCTTGGAACTTTTATCTGCAATATTATTTTTACGATTATTTTTTTTTATATTTTTATCTTTTCAGCCTTCGAGGCCAACATATTTATTTTGATGATTAGGCCAACCTTGGAAGGCAACACTCAAAACGAATCAGTTCAATTCGTCAAGATAAATGGTTGTACATATGTACATAGGTACATAGGTACATATTAGTATGTAGTTAATATGTATTAAAAAGAGGGGAGCATGCCACTATGTACATTGTACATTGTATGTTGTACTTCCACTTTTTCCATTTTTCATCCGCAATAGGGCTGCAGGGTCTAGGGAATGTGAGGCCCGACCAATAGGCAAACAGACAGATCTGGATCCAGCGGGGCCCTTCGTGTGTTGCCCCAATGCAGCGAGGAACACTCGCATTTGATTCGACGATTCTTAATTTAAACCTGGATGGGGCTGTGCCTAGGCGTAAGCGTTGGTTGCGTCTTACGCGTTGCCCAAAACTCTACCATGAACGGGTTTGGTTACTGAAGGTCTTAAGACGTTTTGGACGTTTGGGGATTTCCCAATGTCCACTTAAACTCCAGTCTTGTTATAATATGTCTGCCTATCATATGTCTCTTCATGATACTGTAGATCTTCTACGAAATACGGAGTACGCCTTCTGGATATCAGTTGGAAACACTAGGCCGTTTTGGGCTCGCCATTTCCCTCACTTGGTCTTGGCTACTTGTCTCTCTGGTTTTTTTTAGTCGGAGTCTGATAGTCTCTAGTCTCTTAGCCTCTTGGCCTCTTTTCCTTTTCTTCTCTATAGGACACAATCATTACGCCCTTCCTTTTCTATCCTTGCGTCGACGGGAGTACCTTCGTTTGCTCAACCCTCGCAATACCTTCGTTTTACGAAAGGGGAACTTGTCTCCCCCGCTAAAAGAACAGCAGAAGAATGACTATCTGATCAGTGCATTCAATCCAATACTTCAATTTACTCTTGAGCTTGAGGGGAGAAAGCCAGTAGAGAAAAGATCCAACAATCTCGGAGGGAAAAAAAGTACCGAGATCGTCGGGGTCTGTCCCGCGCATTCGTGGCAGGAATCCGACAGGAATTCGACTGCCGTCATGTCCAACGACAAACCAACAGAACCTACGGAGGGCACTCAACCCGACCAGAACGACGTCCTCCGACGCCCATCTCTCGTGTCTCGAACCCTCTCCGACTCGGGGCGGCGCATCTCCTCCCAACATGTGCGCTTCTCAACCGATCTCGATCGCCCGTCGGCCGAGGAACAGCAACAGACAAACTGGGACCGACGCCCTAGTTCCCGCGGCCTGACAGTCGATACAGCGCTGGCGCCTCCAGTTCGACCCGTTCCCTCACCCACCTCTCCGCTCTCGCCTTCCAGTGCCACCCAGAATGCGACCCTCTCCCCCATTTCCCCGCCGAGTCCAGAGTCCGCCGGTCGGTCTCGATCGCGAAATCGTGGATACTCGCTCCGTCGCAGCATATTTAATAAGACCATCAACTCGACGGAGAACGATAATCTCGCCCTGGCTGAGCTGGGTGAGGTCAAGGAGCCGTCGTCTGATGTGACTCCTGCCCAGGCCCCGGCTGCGGAGACGCTCACTGCCGCCAATGAGAAGCATCCTCTGAGTGTCGCGCCGACTGCAACGCTCGACTCGACCCATAAGGAGGATGCTTCCCCCTATGTCTCTTCTGATACTTCGGAGAGGGGTCTCAAGGAGCAGTTCTCTGTGTCTGTGGCCCAGGAGAAGTGGCTCCAGAAAAAGGCGACTACTGCAGTGGCTGTCGCGCGTGTTCAGGCTGTTTTGACCTCTATCCAGAAATTTATTCTGCGCATCAAGGATATTCCTCCTACTCAGGATGGGCGCCACATTGACTTAAATCCGTCTATGGTGGGTTCTATGATTGATGAACGCACAGGGAAACCTTATATCGGTAACTTCATCCGTTCGAGTCGTTACAGTCTCTGGAGTTTCTTCCCCCGCCAATTCTTCGCCCAATTCACCAAAGTCGCCAACTTCTACTTCTTGATTGTCGCCATCTTGCAGATGATCCCTGGCTTGAGTACAACTGGAACATACACAACCATCGTCCCGCTTTTAATCTTCGTTGGTATCTCAATGGGAAAGGAAGGATTTGATGATTGGCGCCGGTATCGTTTAGACAAGGAAGAGAATAATCGGGATGCTTGGGTGCTCCGCCCAGGCCACGGGAAGGTTCAGGACGGTGCCTCCATGATAAGCAATGCCCAGGATTGGGAGCGGATCAAGTGTGAGGAAATTCGTGTGGGCGACGTTATTAAACTTGAGCGCGACCAGCCGATTCCTGCCGATATTGCTCTCCTCCACGCTAACGGACCCAACGGTGTCGCTTACATCGAGACGATGGCTCTCGATGGAGAGACAAATTTGAAGAATAAACAGGCTTGCCAGCCTGTGTCCAAAGTGTGCTCCACTGTGGAGGACATCAACAGCAACTCCTTGCACTTTGTTGTGGAGGACCCCAATCTGGATCTCTATAAGTTTGATGGTCACGTCACCGTCAATGGCCAGGAGAAACTTCCTTTGACCAATAACGAGATTGTGTACCGTGGCAGCATCCTTCGCAACACTGACCGTGCTCTTGGTATGGTGATATACACTGGCGAGGAGTGCAAGATCCGCATGAACGCCAACAAGAACCCGCGTATCAAGAGACCCGCTCTCCAGGATAAGGTCAACCGCGTGGTAATGCTGATCGTGGTATTGGTCGTTATCCTGGCGGTTGTCTGCACCGTGGCCTACAAGTTCTGGTCTCGGGACGTGGAGCAACATTCTTGGTATCTTGAAAATGCTAGCGTTTCCTATGGCCCGATTTTCACTTCGTTCCTGATTATGTTCAACACCATGATTCCCATCTCCTTATACGTGAGTATGGAAATCGTTAAAGTTGCCCAGATGCTGCTTCTAAACGATATCGACATGTACGACCCCGAAACCGACACCCCGCTCGAGGCACGCACCTCCACTATCAACGAGGAGCTTGGTCAAGTCAGCTACATTTTCTCCGATAAGACCGGTACCTTGACAAACAACTCCATGCGCTTCCGCAAGATGAGTGTGGCTGGAACCGCGTGGTTGCACGACGCCGACCTCCAGGAGGAGGCTGCTCGTGCAGGCGACCACACCAAGTTGATCCACAAGAAGCGGAGCGCAAAGGGGAAGAAGGCAATGGGCCGCAAGTCTAATGTTTCCGAGGCTCAGATGCCCCGGCCGTCGAATGTTTCTGGAGCGCTTGATCCTCTCCGTCAGTCTGGACGCTCGGCTACTACATACCGCACCGAAGAGATGCTCGAATATATCCAGCGCAAGCCGTACACTATCTTTGCCCGCAAGGCGAAACTGTTCATTCTGTCTATGGCTCTGTGTCACACTTGTATTCCTGAAGAAGACGTGAACGGAAACACCACTTTCCAGGCTTCCTCCCCGGACGAGTTAGCTCTTGTTCTTGCAGCCCAGGAACTCGGATATCTGGTCGTGGATCGTCAATCAAACACTTTGACCATCCGCACACAACCGAACGGGCCGGACGGAGCCCCCACCGACGAAGTCTACGAGGTCATGGATGTGATCGAGTTCTCAAGCGCGCGAAAGCGCATGTCAGTCGTTGTTCGCATGCCCGACCAGCGAATTTGCCTATTCTGCAAAGGTGCCGATACCACACTGATGCGTCTCCTCAAGCAGGCCGATCTGGCACGCGAGAAGGCGAACGAAATCGAGCGTCGAGCCAGCAGGCGCAAGAATGCCGAGGCGAACCAGGTCATTCAACGTAACAGTGAGCACCACAGCCGGAAAAACAGTGTTGTGCGGAGCAGTATGACCCGTCCTAGCTTTAGCCGTCGACGCTCGTCCATTACTGGCCAGCAGGGTTCGGCTCTTCGAGCCAGTATCGATTTTTGGCTGCGTGACCGGGAGACCGATGGCGGTATGCGGAACAGAGAGGGTGATAGTGAGTACTATAGCCCTCGGCCTTCAGCGCAGATGGGTAGACCTTCGGCTGCGATCTCGGACTCTGGAAGCTCCACGCATGGCGATGACGACGAAGACCTCGTGGAGGAGGCACTGGTTGTCAACGACGCGGCTATTTTCGAGCGTTGTTTCCAGCATTTGAACGACTTTGCCACTGATGGCCTTCGGACTTTGTTGTATGGCCACCGGTTTTTGGATGAAGCAACTTACACGACTTGGAAAACTGCCTATAACGAGGCTTGCACTAGCCTCGTTGATCGACAGCAGAAAATTGAGGACGCCGGCGAGCAGATTGAGCAACAGCTGGAGCTTACTGGTGCCACTGCTATTGAGGATAAGCTGCAGAAGGGCGTGCCGGAGGCTATTGACAAATTACGACGAGCCAATATCAAGATGTGGATGTTGACTGGTGATAAGCGGGAGACTGCTATCAATGTCGGCCACTCGTGTCGTCTTGTCAAGGAGTACTCGACCCTGACTATTTTGGACCAAGAGACTGGCGACGTCGAGGAAACGATTACGCAACTTATTGAGGAGATTACCCATGGCCGTGTGGCACATTCTGTGGTTGTGGTTGATGGTCAGACGCTGTCATTGATCGAAGCGAATGAGGCGGTGCGTGTACAGTTCTTCCAATTGGCTGTTAAGGCAGATTCGGTCATTTGTTGCCGAGCGAGTCCAAAGCAAAAGGCGTTCTTGGTGAGATCAATCCGCAAACAGCTCACCGATGCGATCACACTTGCCATTGGAGATGGCGCCAACGATATCGCCATGATCCAGGAGGCCCATGTGGGTATCGGAATCACTGGAAAGGAGGGATTGCAGGCGGCACGTATCTCGGACTACTCGATTGCGCAGTTCCGCTTCCTTCTCAAGCTGCTTCTGGTGCACGGCCGGTGGAACTACATGCGTGCTTGCAAGTACACACTCGGCACGTTCTGGAAGGAAATGTTGTTCTACCTGACTCAGGCGCTGTACCAACGCTGGAACGGCTACACTGGAACCAGTTTGTATGAGCCGTGGAGTCTGAGTATGTTCAACACGCTGTTCACGTCGCTCGCTGTCATTTTCCTGGGTATCTTCACCAAAGACCTCTCAGCATCGACACTCCTAGCTGTACCTGAGCTCTACACCAAGGGTCAAAAGCACGGCGGCTTCAATATCCGGCTCTACCTGGGCTGGTCGTTCATGGCGACCTGCGAGGCAGTGATAATCTTCTTCACGATGTGGAGTCTCTTCGGCCTCGCAAAGATCAATCCTAGCGACAATGACATCTTCTCCCTGGGCCTACTCACCTTCTCCGCCTGCATCATCGTCATCAATGTCAAACTCCAAGCCCTGGAAGTCCACAACAAAACCTACATGTCACTAGCCGTGATAATAATCTCTGTTGGCGGCTGGTTCATGTGGGACCTAATCCTCGACCGGGAATACACAATGTCCTCCGGCAAAGGCATCTACTTCCTCCCCTCCAACTTCATCCACCACTCCGGCCACAACCTCCTCTTCTGGACCGTCCTCCTCCTCTCCGTCTCAGCAGTCCTCCTTTTCGAATTCGCCGTCTCAACCCTCCGCGCCCTCTTCTTCCCAACAGACGTCGACATCTTCCAAGAATACGAACAAGATCTCGAAATCCGCAAGCGCTTCGAAGAAGCAGCCGCATCGGAACTCCAGCAGGGCTGGGACCACGGTACCAAGAGATCAAGCTTCGAGATCGCCCGCGATAATGCCGAGAAGGCTGAGATGGACGCCCGTGAACGCCAGGTCCGCGAGCTGCTCGCCCGCCCCCGCGTCATGGATACCAAGCCTGATACTAGGGAAATCGAGCTCGATGGGTTTACCAGCGCGAGCGCCACGATTAGTCACAACAGCAGTGCGCCGAGTCGCAATGCTGACACGGACCGTGGTCGCCAGTCTGGACTCCTCTGTCCCGAAGACGCTGTTGGGCGTCGGCGCTCCGTTGAGATCCAAGAACTCTTTAGTAAGGGCTATGGTGCTGTGCGCAAGGGCCAGCTCAAATGATTCAAGATTCAAGATTCAAGATTGAAGATTCGATTTGTATATGTATGACGGGATCCTGTGGTTTCTTTCCTTCTCTTCTGCTGTTATTTTTTTTTCTCCGTCCACCCTCTTTTCTTTCATAGCGATTGCATCTGCGATTCCTGTGCTTTCACTTATCATACGATTCCCTCGGGCATCGACAGGCGTTGATTTGATTTTTGACTTTTTTTGATTCTGCTCGTCCACTTCCGTGGTCTCTCTTTCCCTTTTTGTTTGCTGTTCGGTCTGTTGCACAGTCGACCGTCAGTTCCAAGATACCCCGACTCATATCGTTGGCAGTCTGGTTTTTCGCGTTCCATATCGGGGTCTCGTTGCATACGTGTGACTCCCCCCTTTCTTGCGGTTGAGGTCTAGTACATATTTTTTTTTACCTCGCAGAGTTATTTTTAATTTAGAGATTTGAAAGACTTTGCTTTATTGCTATTGTACGTTCCCGTGTAGTTGATATTGGCGGATCAGGAAGATGAGGGTTCTCTTTCTCGGCGTCGTCGGTCATGGCAAATGCCTGCTTATGGCGTGGGATCCCTTTTCCCTTCTTCTTGAATCCGTATTTTTGTTGGAGCCGAATGAAGCGCATGCGGCATGCGGCTTTGTTGATTTCGAGAGCGTTGGCGGCTGCCTCATGGTCGATCTGTAGTGAGGTTTTGGCAAGTATAATCTACAGACTGGTATTTATGTATCAAGTAGCGGAAAACCAACCTTCACGTTATTCAGGAGGGTCAACAAGAACTCCTCATCGCTGGTCTTAGACCTTTGCCGGAGCATTAGAAGGCTCTTTGCCTTTTTTAATTGTAGGGGCTATACAACAGGTTTGTTCGGTTTGTGAGATAGTGAAATTGTGATAAAGGCTCGAGGAGTTGGGTCAAAGGTCAAATTCCTTGGTGCTTTAGATGAGCAGCTCAATGATGTTATGTTGGATTGAAGTTCAAGATGGGATGAGTGGCTCCTGCGAGAGCTATAGTTGTGCAGAGTGTAGAGTTGAAAGAAAGCCCCGGCAGAGTAGAACTTGACCCTTTATTATAAGGTAGGTAGGTGTCTGCGACATACACTACTGATTTTCTCTCCGGTGCTTGGCTATCAATTCTTCGCCATTCACAAACACTGAGTGAGGTCTTGAGCCCAATCCACATTTGGTATGACCTATATCTCACATAGTTGTCGGTCCATTCCCTCTCTAATATTCTTTTTATGTCAAGTCAACTCGCTATATACACCACACCACACTATTATCGTCAACTGTTATGTTATACTTCCCCATTGCAGCCTCATATCCAAGCAACTGAAGTCCTTTCTGATCCTGTATTCCCGATATCATCTTCCGGGTCATCTAGCATAGGTTGGAAAACAATTTCCCCATGATGCCATGATTCCTCGCTCTTCCTCCAAATCACCGGAACTCTACCAAGATCCTTACATTTCACCTGCTCAACATACTCCGCAATGCCCTTTCCACCCCTAGATGCACCGAGAACCAATGCTCGGTTATCCTGATAATCAAAATATGGAAGACCCTTCCACCATCGCATTCGAATCCCCTCTCCAATAACCAGAAGTACAATCAACCCCGTAATCACCGCACTGGTAATGACATACTCCCGCGATCCGACGCGGAGAGCAGCGACCTGGACCACTACGGGTGTGGATTTCTGGAATTCACTGACCACCAATTGCGCCGAGGCATATGCAACCAGCATATCATCGACCAAGGAGGTAACTGCATTCTCCATTCCCTTCATCACAATCTGTGTTTCCGAGAGATTCCTACCAGCGACGGAAGTGCGGTAATCACTAATGCTACCATTGAAGGCGTCGCCAAGCGTTGAGCGATAGTAACTGGTCAGATCATTGGCGATGAGTTCGAGTTGTCGCATTACAATGTGGGTTATGTTGTGATGGGGATCGATATCATGGACCAGGCCCACTGCTGATTCAGACGCATTTATTTTGCTGACGCTGATGTTCCGTTCTTGAATATCGACCGAGACATTGAATATTGCCGGAGTGAATGTGACGGCACACTGCACCTGATTCAAATTCTTGTAGTAATTCCCTGAGGCGATGGCCATGTACCGCTTTGCACTGTACTCGGTGGGATTTGCCGATACCCCCACCGCAACTATTGCGTCGTCGCCTCGACCAATGTAGACCGAGTATTCGGGCGAGCTAAGGTTGCTGTCGGGAAGAAGTCCTCGAGCCGCGTAGAGAGTGGTTTGGGGGAGGACTTGGATTACAAACATCGAGCTTGTATTGTACATGCAGTCAACGGAGGCGTCGAGGCCGATTTCGTTGAAGGTGTAGTTCCTCGCGTGCGGTATGGCGACGAGGTTATCGTCGGAGAGGCCGGCACTTGCACCAACCCCGTAAGACCGGCCGTGATAATTGTATCGGGTATTGTCTAATTTGGGGTGATTGCGAACGCCGCCGTTGATTGGGGAGGCGGAGTTCATGGATGATAGAAGTGAACCTAGTAAGGCTAAGCCCACTGAGTAGGTGAAGTAACCCTTTGTCTCACGAATTGACAACCCCGTCTTGTCGATCTGGGCGGGGTATTCTTTGATCAAGCTTATATTGGACCAATCCGGGACAAGAAGGGAAGAGTTTTGGGTGCCGATAGCATCTGCCGGTGTCAATGCACCAGTCCATAGTGCTGATATGATAGCAGACAGATTTCCGAAAAGGACTGTGATGACAATCATCCAGAAAGGCAGAGAGAAGTTGTTCGTGGGAGTTGAGAGTGCTGACCAGAACTCAAGCACGTTCAGGGACACTGGACTTTTTGTAAATCGAATGCGAGTTGTCAAGTTGATCAGGCGACAGAGTGCGAAGACCTCAATGGCTGCCAGGATAGCACCGAAAATCTGGACTGCTGTCTGGACTGATGTTCGATTCGTGTTCACAAATACGTATAGGTTATCTGGAAGATGCCAGCTGGAGGCATCACTGTATACCAGAAGAATGCTTAACGTCAGAGGTATAATGAGGAGGACAAATAGAAGATGCTCGACCCAGGAGTTGGATGGTGGTAGTTTGTCATGGTCTTCAGTGCTTTTCGATGACACAAATAAATGTTTGGGCTCATTGGTGTGTCTGTTTCGTCGCATGATCCAAGGAGAACCTCAGATAGAGGTATATTAAGTTGTATTATAATAGTAAAAGAAGAAAGAGCGCTTAGATTCCCGCAAGACGGAGATGCATTGGGTATTTAGAGTCAGGCCAACTGGGAATCAGCGTGTCAGGCAAGGCGCCAGGAGCTTTATAAGGCATGGGTCTACCATACACAACAGTCTCGGATCTGCGTGGCTGATTCTTAAGCACCGGAGCCTCTTGGTGTCTCAAATTAAATTGTAGTTTTCCCAAGAAACAGGAGCTCGAGACGATTGAGACTCACTTGTTGAGAGTAGAGCATCCTAAAGATAGTCTTCGGTGTCGTTAGGTGCATATGATGAAACGACACTAATATTTCTATATGCTAGCACAGTTCGAAATATGGCGGCTAATAACGGGCACCTCAGGTCTCCGTCCCTCCATTGGTCGTGCACTCTCCCGAGACCCAATAAGCCCACCTAAGCAGGGTCTTGCCGCCCACGCTAGTCAATCACAGCGCGTACGGAAAATGTACTTACAGTGGAATCACGAAGTTCCAAGAAAGGTTCGATGATATGTATAGGTCTCTATGAGGCAAGGATGAAAGCTGATATTTGTTGTGGCGAGGTTGGCCCACGACGGGGATACCATTTCTTGGAGGCCTGATAAACAAGGCCACAACCACCCTACTGTCTCATTAGATAGGAGAATTGGAGTGGAAAAAATTATATCAATTTGTTAAATGCCATCTCCAGCCATTTAAGGAAAAGAAAATTGATATTCACCAAGTAAGGACAGAAGTTGTCACGTGTCTTTATCCCCGGCCTTCGTTTTGCCATTGACACAATCTCCTTTCTCCTCCGTCATTGTAGGTCAACTGAGCCAGAAAATACACTTTTTCAACATCCTTGTCACCGTGCGAGACAAGATATGCCCCCGGGAGGTTTGTGCAACATACACCGGGAAGATGCAGCTCTGACGATCACCAGGCCCGGCTTGTATAACATGCCGTGAAAAGTGTCGCAAATGCGACCGGACAAAACCCGTTTGCCAAAGATGCATCAGCAAAGGCCTTGAGTGCAAAGGATATCCGGACAAGTTCCGTTTTGCAGGGCTAGCAACCCGGGGGAAGTGGAAGAATAGGGCGGTCCCTGCTGTGAACCGTAATGATTCCGTTCCAACTCAACCGGGCAGCGAAACCGATCATCTACATTCCAACCATGAAGAGTTTGATCAACAGCAGCGAGATGGTTTGGCCTCGCACGTAGATCGGAGTATTGAACCACTGCCAAGTCTCGACCATTTCTGGCCACAGCCAGAAGGGCGAGTCGCCGAGTTGGATGATTTATTAATGCTAGAACGGACGGAACAGTTATTGACACATTGTGTGTTTACTTTATTATTGGTGTCAAACAGCCCTTGACTGACTGCTAGATATTCAGATGACCAGGTCATATGTCCACATCAAATCGCACTTCCAGCTGCCGGCGCGGACAACCCATATCAAGTTTATGTTCTGCCACTAGCATACGAGCAAATAGGTCTGCTGTATGCAGTTCTAGGTCTTACTGCATGCCACATGGGAATAAACAAGGAAGATGAATATTTACGAGAAACTCTGGCCGTTGAATATCGAGTCAGAGCTATACGCTGGCTTGGAGAAACTCTACGAAACGGGATATCTGGCGAGCTGGATGAAAATGAACGCGATGGAATTTTTGTTACTATTCAGATACTGTTACTCCAGGATGTGGGTTGCCAACCTTGCATCTTGATGCTTGATCCTGACACAAGAACTGATGGCTGAATCTGAATGAAGATTTTCGAATCCGGCATCTCCACCCACGGAGTTCATATTACAGGTGCCCTATCGATTTGCAACCAGCTGCGCTTGTGTGATACCCTGTCCAGAGAGGATAAAAGAACAATATTTTTCTTGGGAAATCTCGCATGGCAAGTGGACTCTTATCGTCTTTACGTTAGACTCCAGTGCTGACGCGTATCCTATTAGGCTGGACATCATCCGTTCTCTCGCAGATCCACAACGACTATGCTTCTCCCCCGAGCTTCGTGAAGCTGTAGCCACTTTAAGCGACTTGAAATTCGAGCGGGTCAATGGCTGTCCGCGTGATATGTTCCTGATAATGGGCAACGTCATAGAGCATGCGAAAGCTCATGCGATGGGCAAGATAGAAACTCCAGAATACGAGCGACTCCTCAACGCCTACCGGTATGAGCTCTACTCATGGCGTTTAAAAACCGACAGATATCCAAACGATGATCCCCGCTGGCCTGCAGTTGCCGAGGCATTCCGTCACGCATGCATACTACATACATCTCGCCTGTTGGATGAGACCCAACCCGCTGAAGCACCAATGATACAAAATTCGGTGACCGCCATCTTGGACTCGCTAGCGGAAATCCCAGCCGAGTGTCGTCTGATCGAGTTGGTGGTCATGCCACTCTTTATGGCTGGGGCTGATGCTTTGTCCCCGTACGCTCGGCATTATGTCCTTCTGCGATTCGACCATATTCGGGCTCATGGTGGTGTGGGTAACCATGTGTCGATTTCCTTGCTCAAATCCGTTTGGGATGGTCGAGGCAGACAGGCGAAACATGACAACAGCAATATTCCATGGTGGCGGTTTGTGAGTTAGCCTCTTTATGGGATAATTACTTGATCTTAGCTGACTTTTGTAGGCTCGCGACTCGGGATCGCAGCAACAGCATGACTATCTTATTATATAATCCATCCTCTAATTTTCAACATTTAACATCGTGATTCCTTTCGGAGACGAAATTATTGATTTGGATTGACTATCGAACGTTCAAATGGCTGCCAGTGAGTGATAGCAACAGCATGAAGACACAGCTGTCAATCTACGTCACACGTCACGAAGCATTGGGACCAACTCATCGAAGACCTGGCGACGCTTGTCATTGAGATCCTGAAAGATCTCCGTGGGTCCTACGCCCCCACCCAGAACCTCATCGCTTCCCGTTTCCGATACTTGATAGGCATGCTCGGCATACTCCTCAACTGGCATCCCCATACTGCGTCCTTTCTCAATGCCCATATAATCGTGTAGTTCGGCTACGCAAGATAATGATCAGTATGATACTCTTCATTCCCCGTTCCACCTTTGGGGATTTGATTGAACTGAGATATCCACTTACTAGACACAAGGGGTGGAGCCAAGTCAATCACTTTGACATTTGATTCCCTCAGCTGGTCTCGCAGGCAGTACAAAAAGGCGTTCATAGCAGCTTTAGCGGCTGAGTAGGCGGGGATTCTTGGCGCAGGCACCAAAGCCAGAAGCGATGATGTACTGTACAAACAGATTAGAAGTCCTATCAAAACGATGATTCCGGAGATTGTGTACTAACAATATAATGCTTGTTGGGGTCGACTTGGACAACAAGAATGGAGTGAACGCCTGAGTCAGAGAAACGTAGCTGATGAAATTGACGTCCATTTCTGCTCTAAAATCACTCAAGTCCCCATCCTTGGGGTCGGTCAAATCGTATTTCCGTTGGGTGCCCGGATTGAGGAAGATGCAGTCGATGTCTGGATATTGACCGGTTGCGCTTTTTTTCAATTTCAAGTTAGAAACCCCCAAAATTCATCTCTCGAAATGTTCGCCAACTGACTTTGCAGCGAATTGGGGAGCCCCGTTAATGTCGCTGACATCGTAATTGATCGCGGAAGCTTTTTCATCGCCGTGCTTTTCAACGAACTCTTCGAGACGCTGCTTCCGTCGTCCCACCACAGTTACTTTGATGCCAGCCTGAATCAGACGATCAGCCATCGCTCTACCGATCCCAGATGTAGCTCCAACGAGCAAAACGTGCTTGTATGGGAATGCCATCTTGAGATAGGATCTGATCAACCTGGGTTTATTCGAGGAAAAGAGTATTGGACTTGAGTTGGTGAGCGATGATTAGAACCCGAATTAACTGTCGGGCTCTCACACCGCATGTTTATATGCACCTATACGTACCGGATATTCCGTGGTGAGCGGGGCTTTCCTATTTGTGCCGCCGCCGCTTTTATATCGAAATACTATGCTCTCTACTAATAAGATAAAGAAAGTTTCAAGTATATCCTTATTATTAAAGGCAGTATATCTAATTTGGTATAAATCATCTCTTAAAATACTTTCGTTGCGATTGACTGGTCTATCCAATTTTCCACGTTCTTAATACTCCTGGAATATACTACTCATGGAAAAGACAGGTTTTTTTTAACAATTTGTTGTTGGTCAGTTATACTGCCGATCTGATACTGCCTGGTTATTTATCGAGTAAGCTCTCAGCATGGAGGGCCAACATCTGGGAGCTCTTGAATGCAAGCACTGTCAAAAGCCTGAATGACCTTGCAGAAGCATTCAACTACATACTGCGACTGTTTGGGGCCTAAAACATGACTGGATACCGTGATACCGACATGCAAATCGGTGGTGGTTGGCCGAATATGAATATTGGCCGATTGGGTGGGCTTGTTGGGAAGACCACTGTGGCTGCAATCGCACTGGAACCCATCAAGCGAACAGGTGGATTGAGAATCGTAATTTTGGATGCGTACATAGCTGGGAAGGGTGGTGGATGATGGCCAGGGAGTGCAATTCCGGACAATGTCGTCGAAGCCTAGCGTTGCGAACGGCATCGTGCTGATTAACTGCTCTTGAACCTGCTGCAGCAAAGCCAACTTTGAAGTGACTCGGTCGAAGTGGGCGCGCACAGGAATGGTGCTCAGACATGGACCTACAATTCGGTCCTCATGCGGAAGTCCATGGCTTCTTGCGAGAACGACCTGACCAAAGACAACGTCCTGGAGACATGACTTCTCGGTTGAGTCATGTGGCTGGGAAGGAAAGAGATAGCGAAGCGTCACAGCCCATGCTGTCTTAAGGAGCGTCGAGAGAGTGACATGGTGAGGGACGGAGATCATAGGGATCACCTTCCGAGCGTCGACGAGATATTCCGTCTCCTGTGGCGAGACATCCATCGGCACAGATAACGATTGGCCTGTAAGATGTGTGACATGGGACCCGTCAAGTATCGATCTCCAGGTGCTGTAGGCAGCCTCACTGCGCAGATCCCTCGCAGCGCGTACATATTCGGAGAATGGGGTGGTGGGCAGCAACAGCCCGCCGTTGTATAGATCAGAAAGATCTTCCGCAATGATTTTTAGTGAGTGGATATCCCACAGGGCGTGCGCCAGCCGAAACACCAGAAAAACATTCGTATTTGGAAGTGCCACCAACTGGATCTGAAGAGGAGGCTTTCCGCAATAAGGTGGCTCAGCAACTGTGCAGTCCTTCCTGCAGTGCTCCTCGAGGTCATCCACACTGTACTTGTGGAATTGTACATCCCAGGAACGGAATGTGAATTGCAGTCCACCGCCATTGTCGATTGCAAAACCTGTCCGGAGGATTGAGTGATGATTCACTAAGCTCTGACAGGCACGCAGCAGGCGGCCATGGTCGAATCCCTGATTTAGCTGAATTCTAAAATAGCGATACCGCATGAACTGGAAGCTGAATCTCTGAAATTCTGTGATGGGAAGTACTTCGTCGATATTTTTCAGGTCATCACCTGAAAGCTGCTCAGATAGTCGGCCGAGGTGAGGGGACCAATAGGCGCCTAATCCTGGACCAACACCGTTGGCAGCATCCTCACTTGCCATTGTGGCGATATAGGATACGATGGGATGGTCGCGTATAATCTCGTCAGTAAGATGGATCCCCTGCTCGCTCGCCAGAACCAGTAGCTGACGACCAGTAGAGGCGCTCCCTCCAAGCGCGAAGAAGTTACTCTCGACGTTAACTTCGCTGTTCTTGATGTTGAGTACGTCGGCCACAAGATCACGGAGCCTTTCAGCCCGGATAACGGCCATTTCGTGAGTAGGATGCCTGCGCACTCTATGGGGATGTGCTTGCTCCAGAGGAGGGAGGTTAGTCTTGATCGGGATTTCCGACAGGATTCGGTGTTTTAAGATATCTTGAACAGTGGCAATAAGGCCTTCTCTCCTGGCTGCGGTAGATAATAAAGTGGCGGTAATGGAGTCTCCGCCAATGTCGAAGAAATCACTAGCCATGTTAACGCTCTCCGGCTCAAGGCCGAGCACGTTGGCAACTAGTCTGCGAAGAATGCGGCCACAGTTCGTCGTTGGCGAGACGAAGGACCCTGCATGTTGCTTTTCGCTGCTGTATGTCAGAACTCGATCTTGAGTCCATGACGATACCTCCTCTCGTAAAAGCCGGCGGTTCACTTTACCACTCGGGGTATGCGGCATCGTGACTAGAGGCACGTATAGCGAGGGGAGCATATGGCGAGGAAGGGAGCGACTCAGGTGAGAGTGCAGGACGGTTATATCGTCAAAGAACCGACTTGATGGCGATTCAATAAATGAACACTGTTGGAGATTGCTCGATCCCCAATCTATCCCGGAACAGGGACGTACAAACGCTACCAGACGGTCTCCGTTCGTCTGGCTTTGAGGCCGGATTACCTCGATAATGGCCTCGCTGACAGATTTTGATAGGGTTGTAATCTGGTGCTCTAACTCGCCGGGCTCTATTCGGATCCCATGGAATTTTACCTGGAGATCTTTGCGCCCCAGAAAGATTATGCTGCCGTCCGGGGCATAGCGCACTAGGTCACCGGTTTTATATACTGGTCCTGGCTGCGACGGCGTCCGCAGGCGAGTCAGCCAGCAGGGACTTTTGATAAAGGTGGCAGCAGTTTGTTCCGGATTTTTGAGATACCCTAGTGCCATGGTCGGTCCCTCTAGTAAAAGCTCGCCTGTCACACCAATTGGGAGTAAGCGATCATGGTTGTTGGGGTCTACTATCCACGTAGCGGTTCCAGTGGAAGGTCCGATGTCTCTCGGATCTGAATCCGATCGGACATCAAGTCGAACAGTTGGGACGAGAGTACACTCAGCGGGACCGTACACTTGAATGATTTCCACGTACGATTCCCATGCACAGACCAAATTTCGTGGAAGTGGCTCGCCTCCCAAAACTATCGTTCTCAAAGTTGGAGCGTCTGTTGGACTCAGCAACCGCAGCATGGACGGAGTGGTGAAAAGCCAGTTTGCCTGCATATCTCTTGCCGCCTTGCTTGGGTCATTCTCTCTCTCATGCTCAGTGGGAACACAAATGCAAGCACCGACAGCAAGGGATAGTAGGGTTTCATTGATGCTAACGTCGAACGCGTATGAGGAGAGTTGCAGAACACGGGATCTCGGCGTCAACCGGAGAGAACAACATATGTTCTCTGCCGCAGTACTTATAGCACCGTGAGAGGTCACGATTCCTTTGGGTTCCCCAGTCGAGCCTGAAGTGAATAGCACGAAAGCAGGGGAGCTTTGTTCAACATGTGGCATTGGAGGTGCGTTTGATAGGCCTTCTGTATGGCTACTAGAAAATATGAAGACATTCGCATGCATGCCATGGCTGACCTCTGCACAAGCCACTGACGACACAATGATCCGCGCATCTACCGCAGACACGAGGTGTTTCAAACGCTGGGTTGGGTATGACGAGGGTAGCATTAGGAAGGCCGCCCCTGCCCGAAGAACCCCCAGCATGGCTACTGTTGCCCATGGGCTTTTTTCAAAAAGCAGCGGCACTATGTCTCCTCTTTGAACGCCTTTCAGAATAAGAGAGCTCGCCAACCGATCTGCATGCATACTGAGATCTCCATATGTTAGTTGAACATCATGACTATAAACAGCCAAGGAACTCGGTTGTGCACGGCAGCGGGCTCCAATGAGGCTGTGTATAGAGGCATGAGAAGCAATTGGAACATTACTATTCCAATTCTGCAATTTTTCAAGATCCCAAGGTGGAACGACATTGACACCACCGATTGTCTGGTGTTGATCGAGCAGGAGCTGGACATATATATGTCCCAGCTGATGCAGGATCCGCCGAGTATCTGCCTCTGAAATAAACTGGGAGCTGAAGGATACCTTCATAGTGAGGCCATCTTTCTCTAGCTCACATATGAGCTGTAACGGATAGCTTGCAAATGGCAGGAGATAATCCGCCTCAGTGGTGATCAAATCACTGAAGAGGCCTGACCGCATGGCGGACTTCCTTTGGCGATCTTGGATGATCAACAGATTTTGCAGGTTACAGGCTGCAGCAGCTTCGGATCCAGCCTGGCGGATATTCTGCAACCCAGTCTGTTCATGGTCAATCATTCGGGTCAATTGCTCCTGAACACCGCATAGTGCCTTCTGGACGGAGTCAGAAGAATTTAATTTGATGCGAACTGGCACCGTGGCGAGAACAGGGCCAGAAACTCTGTCAATTCCTTGCATAGAAGCACTACGCCCCGTGACGACTGTCCCGAATATCACATCCTTGGAACCGACCTCTTGTGATATGACCATAGCCCAGGCTAGCCGAAGTGCTGATGCCCTGGTGGATTCGGCACCTGGCGATGTTTTCACGTCAACGGAGTGCGTCATAGTGCTTACAACCTCGGAGGGTGTAGCCACAGGTTCACGATTTTCAGGGAAAGAACAACCGCTGAATCCTGCGAACTCGGCTCGCCAAAACTGATCAGACGATGAAGGAGCACGGGCATGGATATGCTGGACAAATAGGCTGAACGGATGCAATGTAATATGGTTCCCACGGTACGCCTGCTCCACCTGCTCAAGGAGAAGGTTGAGTGACCACGCATCGAAGATTGAATGGTGAATAGCGATGCGAAAGAACGATTGTAAACCTGATGTGATTGCGAATCGCACAAGTGGACCATGGTCGACGTTGACTACAGGAAGCTGACCCTCATCTTCAAGGACTTCCCATGGAATTTCATGCCGCATAACCACTTGGAACATACTTTGGTCCAGTCGCGCAATACGTGTCCGCAGATTTGGATTTGAGTCCCAAACAGCCATCCATGAATTCCTGAACCTGGCCATATCTATGCTCTCTGACAGCCTCCAACGGAGTTGGGCGATATAGGCGCCGGGGCTTTTCGTCGACAAGGCCATCAGCCCTTCTTGCATTGGCGTGCATGGATAGATGTCTTCTATCATATTTGGATCAACTTCCAACTCAGAAGCCACGGCCTTTTGAAGGTTTCCATCCGTAGGCAAGAGAGCAAATGGTAGCGGCGGGGCGCATATGTGGCCCGAGGCTTCTTTAGTAATGGCCGACGCGATTGCCGCCAGTGTTCTATGCTTGAAAATATCGCTGACAGTGAGTGTTAAACCTGCCTCCTTCAGCATGGAAACAGTCATAATGGCCTGCAAAGAATCTCCCCCGATTCTGAAAAAATCGTCATGTCGCCCAGGGGGTTGAGTGTTAAGGGTTTCTGCCCATATAGTTTGCAGTGCCTTCTCCTCAGATGTCATACACGGTTCTGGGCTGGCTTGATCGAAGTCTTTTGGTAGGTTCAGTGGTGTTTTCATCAGCTGCACCCGGTCTACCTTGCCAGACTTTGTCAATGGCAGCCTATTCATGAACACGAAATGTGCGGGGATCATGAACCGAGGTAGGACAGTTGTCAGGTATGTCTCCAACTTGTCAGCCCAGGGGCTTGACACACTGTCCGGGAGGATTTCGGGCTCAGTTTCCCCTATACCTTGGGGTGATGCTTTTCCCACAAAGGCTGCGAGTTTCCTATGTCTCTGAACATCGTCTCTATCTCCAGAGGAGAGAGCTACGACTGTGACATCCTTAACTCCCAGGTTCGGGCAGCTTTTGATGTGTTCCTCAATGTCAGCCAGAACGATCAGCTGACCATTAACTTTGATTTGGCTGTCTCTGCGGCCAATGTAGTAGATGGACCTATCCATATTATAACGAACCAAGTCCCCAGTGCGATATAGCCGACTTTGTGAAGGCTGGGGTTGCCATTCCACACGGCCTAAGAACTGCCGTTTGGTACGCAACTCATCGTTCAAATAGTGTCGGGCTAATCCAGGGCCCTGGATGAGCAGCTCCCCGACTGCCCCGATGGGAACCAAGCGGTCAGAATTATCTGGATCGGCCACCCAAAGAGCCGAATCATGGGAATGACCGATAATATGAGGGTCCCAGTCTGAGCTCTGAACAGAGACCACAGCAGCCGGCCCGGCAGTCTCGCTGGCACCGTATCCATATATCAGCTCAACCCTATTTACCCAGTTCTTCAGCTGCGACCTGCCAATTCTATCGCCTCCCACAGATAGAACGCGCAGAGTCGGGACAGAATCAGGGGAGAGGAGCTCGGCTAAGGCAGGGGTCAGATGGGCATAGTTGACGCGATGACGGTTGATGAACCCGGCAAGGTCGCCAATCCGTTCCGGTTCGGATGGAATGCATATGCATCCCCCAACCAGCAAAGTTGTGAGGAGTTCTCGATTGCACATGGTAAATGAATGGGAGGAAAACTGCAGCCGACGCATATCCGGACCTAATCGGAGGGCTGTGGCCGATCGCTTCGTGGAGGTACAAAACGCCCCGTGCTCCATGACTAGGCCCTTGGGTTCCCCAGTGCTACCAGACGTGAATACTGCGTATATTGGATTTCTCGGCGTACATCGAGATACCGATAAGGGAGGTAGCTCAGAGGTGGTTGGGGGTTCCTTGTCGAGACACAAAGTCTGCTCAGCCAGTTGATGAGACAGAGCGGCACAGCTGAGTGAGGATACCACCAACGGAGCAGACACCGACTTGCAAATTTTCTTCAGTCGATCGATAGGATGAGAAGGATCCAGTAAGACAAAAGCAGCACCAGCTTGGATGACCCCGAGGAGTGCTACCACTACCATCTTGGACTTCTCAAAGCACAACGGGATGAAGGTTTCTGGGCCGATGCCCATAGCTATGAGTTGGGCAGTGAGATGAGTGGACTGTTCTACGAGCTCGCCATAGGTCAACTCGCCGTCCCACGCGGACACGGCCTGATCAAGACTGTCTCGACCCCGACGCAAAATGATGTCGTGAACGCATTCCGGGTTCCACGAGCTGTCGGTTCCAAGAGATGCATTCCAGTCAATCATTTGATCGGTATCCGCCCGGCTGCATAATGTAAGCTCTATAACAGGCGTGTCGAGGTTGTGAATGATCTCCGATATGGTATGACGCAGTGTGCCTGCAATGGCCTTTGCTTGCTCACCGGACAGAGTATTGCATTTGTATTCAATCACAGTTGACTCGACTACATTCTCTATATCATAACGGATTCGCACCTGAACATCAGACTAACAAATCCAGATCTCTGTTAGCAATACGATACACGTCTAATTACAGGACGACTCACGTTGTGAAGGAGGTCGATGCTTTCCAGCCGGTCATCGGAACGGTCTTCATAGACGGCCGTGTTGACTAATCGACGATGATTATCTTGATTTTCACCCGAAGAGCCACATGAAGCACTTTCATAGAACTCCATGACATGGCGTAAAAGAAGTCGTCCGGTAGTTGACGCGGCAATATGAGCGTAACACATCCCACCGACATCTGTCGAGCTGCCAATTGCCGTTTCATTTGCGACCCTAAAACAGACTTGGTCCTGACTGGTATATGATCGCAGTACCAGGGCCCATGCAGCTTTCATGACTTGCACAACCCCTACTCCCCCTACATCCGAAAGTTGATTTTGCAGTCTGCGGCATCCTTCTCGGTCGTCGATGGTGACCGACCCATGTGGCTTTGTCGATTCCTGATCATGCGCCTTGGAGGTCGACACAAGTGGTGGAAGAAGGCATGAAACGAGGCGATGGCTGTCCATTATGCTTATCAAACGAATTGATAAAAAAAAATGAATGAGACCCGATGTCGGCGGGCCTTGTTAGGCTTCCTTGTAGGCCAATGTACGACTCAAGGCGGCGAGGCCTATATACCTATATCTAGGCTACCTAGGTATGATATGAAAATATTCGGACGATTGCATGTTATAAATACAACTGCCAATGTGCGTAAGTTATACGCACAAAAATGGGCGCCATTACCGTCCTGGTTTGGTTCAATTCAGCATATTGCCGTTCGAAATACGGGGCATGGTACTCAGCGGCATGACGATCCCGATCGCATGCACGATATTTGGATCTGAATGGGGACCTGATCGCTGAGTAGGCATGGCATTCGCGAGTTGCTGATCCCTTACAGCAGTCTCTGACCACTACCTAGGTACCACGTCACTAGGTACGATCTATGAGCACTCACCGGTTCGGAAATCAAGACCCTCCGCAGCATGAACAAGGGTGGAGCGCATACCATGAAATAGATCTCATTGCTAAGTCCTCCAGGGCTCCACTTACATAGTTCCAACCTTATAAGTGAAACATGCGGAGAGCGGTGGCCAACCTTTCCTCGTGCAGCATTATTGGGCAGAATAAATCTAGTTGTGGCGCACCTGAGCATCCCAAGGTTGCTTTTGCCTCAATTCAAGACTGCCTTCTCCTAGCATATGACATATCGCCAAAAGGGATCCTGTCCATGCTTGCATCGTATTGCACCTGTGGTGCGCTGTATGACTGATCGGCATCTTCACCGCCGATTGCTGATTCCAGAAGTTCTCGCTATTTACCTCAGCCCCAGACTTGGTGCTGCCTTCTAGTAGTATGTTACAGGAGATTGTTATAATGCAATCATAATCCCCGGAAAAATTTTACGAAGGCTCATAATCAATTTGATTGAATAGCCCCGTATCACATAGGTTATCTCCAGATTGAGCCAACAAACATCTAGAAGATATACACGAGATGCAGGTGGAAGAATTGAAACACGCACTTTCACCTGGATATGACCTGAATGTGGCTCAGTTCGAAGCCCTTTCGAAGGCTAATGTGCCGATACGAGCGCTTTTGGAGGGATACAGCAATATTGAGCCGGAAAAGGTTCTGGCACATGTGAAGGATGTGGTAAGTGAAGCACAGTTCAAAGGTTTCGGTGTCTTTGACTAAGTACTCATATTTCTCAGAGGGATCGGGCTTTCGCCGTGGTATGTTGCTTTACTATACTGTCGACAGATAGTCAAGAATCTTTGATCTAACCACGCCATACTGCTACAGTACCCATATCCGTGCGTTGCGAAGTTCATGTTCCTGGAACCAGCAATTTCCACGCTACCCTGCTTCAATGCCATTGTGCAACGGGTCAAGGAGGGCCAGAAGTTATTGGACATGGGCTGCGCCTTTGGACAAGAACTTCGTCAAGTGGTAAGATACCCGTTCAGCTCCCCTTTTTGCGTGTTATACCAAGGCACTAAAAACGTGACCTCGGGGGTATAGGTATATCATGGTGGACCCTCTGAGAACCTGTACGGCGTAGATCTCCGCCTCGATTTCATCAACCTAGGATTCGAGCTATTTCAGGATCGCTCGAGCCTGAAGTCCCAATTTTTCGCATCGAACCTGCTGGACAATAATTCAGAGGTGGTCGCGGAACTCACTGGGAAAATCGATATTATATTTGCATCGTTATTCTTCCATATCTTCAGCTGGAACCAGCAGATCACGATTGCCAAGCATGCGCTCCAGATCCTTACGCCTCAACCAGGGTCAATAATCGTGGGACGGAATGCCGCATATGTCAAGCGAAAGACGCCACCCTTGCCGGAGGAACGCACGACCCAGTCTTTCCATCACGACCTTGAAAGTTGGAATTTGCTTTGGGAGGTAGTTCAGAAAGAAACCGGCATGAGACTGCGGGTGGAAACTTGGGAACAACCCGATCAGGACTTGAAAGATCATCCACAACTGGGAGCATATATGATGTACTTCACCGTGACTCTAGAATGACAGAAAGGGGTAGCGAAATGCGGGCCACACACTCAATAAACTGATTGCAATTAAACTGGTCTGGCCTTTATACTATCAATATTGTAGTCGAGTTGCACTAAGTCACCTTTTCGGCTTTAGTTATATAGTCAAGTGACAGTATAGAGTCCTTCACAGGGTGTTTCTTCAGATTCCTTTTTCTGCTACATAGATACTTGGTATTTTATTGCTTAAATTATATAGCCCACTTTTGAAATTAATAAATATATCGTGTTATCCATGAATTACTATTAAAATTGATGTTATTGTGCGTGATGTGAAAGTTCTTTTTTTCATTGGAACAAAAGTTCCTTTGAGCCCGTGAGTGCACGGCTAATATCGCCGCCCTGGAGTCGTTGGATAGTGCATACTAAGGTCTCACTTGCTGTAACATTCTACTCCTGTGTAGATTAAATACCCGTTTGAACGGAATGGCAACAGCCATGGTGGATAGAGCAAAGTAAACTAACGCTGTACAATGCCCAAGACCTATTTCCGCTTCTTGATTGTGACAATAATCCCCCATTGTCTAAAAAACCACGCATTCTCGGTTCGGTGTTGTTTTGGATCAACAAGCCTCATCTTTTATCAGTCAGCATGGAGTAAAAACAAACGGATACTTCATAATCACCTCATAGCGAAGAAACAAAGCTGCGATGGTTTTCTTGGCTTCAAGAATTGCAATGTTTTTTCCCAAACACGATCGACGACCCGCTCCGAACTATAAGACAGCAGTGTGAGCCAAAGAAAATGCACAACGGAGTATTGCGGGAGCCATGGACCTACACTCAGAACACCACGCTCCATTCTTTGTCTTTGTGCGGGATCTAGCTCAATCCACCGCTCTGGACGCCATTCGGAAACATCCTTGCCAAATAAAGAGGGGTTTCGATTGGAAACATAGGGATTGATGCCAACCACCGTCCCTTGGGGAAGATAGTGGCCCGATATCATAATCCCACCGCGCTGGACAACTCTTTCGAGTGGCAAGCAAAAAGGGGGGTGCAGACGAAGAGCTTCCATGAAGCAGGCGTCGAGATAATCAAGATTACGTATACTCTTCCATGCTGGAAGAGGCATGTCATCAGAAGTGCTATTCTCAACAGTGGTTTGGTATAATTCTTTCAGCAATCGATTCATGGAGTCGGGGTGTCTCAATAGCTGATAAAGCATGGTCTGCATGACACTTGCTGTAGAATCCGAGCCGGCTTTCACATTTGCAAAGGTCCATGCTTTGGACGCGCTGATTCCCAGAGTTAGTTAAATCCTGATCACTGGAGATGGAGATAAATGCATACTTCGAGGGGATGTTAGGGTTGGTTTCTTGGATGTGCAGAAAGTGTGACAGCATATCAAGCTTACAGCTCTCATTTCTGATCGTTGGTTTTTGTTCCTGCTTCTCCTTGATATATTGATTCACCATGGTAAGTATTTTAGATCCCGCTGTGTTTTGGAAGAATGCAGAAACAGGGTTCTTATATAGCAGCCGGTCCAACCACGGCACTTGACCCATCTATAATTGAATGTTAGTGCTGGATTGCGAGAAGCATATAACCTCACTTCTCTCACCACTGAAGAAAGGTTCATGAATTTCTCAACCGCCATCAGGATTCCATTGACGTCTCTGCCCTCTTCCAAAAAGCTATATCGCTTCGAGAATGTCAGGGTACCCATTACATCATAGGCAAAATACTGCAGCCAGTTTCCAAGGTCACAGACACCTTCCGAGGTAGCATATCTTCGATCCAACTGGTCAAACATAACACAGAGCGCTTGATCCACGAAGGGCTCCAAGGTTACAACGTTTGTCATAGAGTAGAGGTATGCTACTGGCTTCCTCAGCCTTCTGTGTAAGTCTTCATCCTGCGTATTAAATATTGCCGCTACTTCACCATCCTTCCGGGTATAGGGCCTCTGGACGCGGTAAAAGTCACTCTATAAGGATTAATTGTCTGGAGGGTGCAATCTGCCGTTTGAAGAGTTCTCACCTTGGGAAACCCTTCACGGGTAGGATAAATAGTGGGTATAGCATCTGGATCTGACACTGATACAGTGTTGGGCCCAAGCCTGACCACGCGACCGTGAACATCGTGCAAACGTTGATGAAATACATGGGCGTGGCCGGACTTGACCCATGCCACGCGTGGTAGATTCGTTATTCTCGACCAAAACGGACCAGGTAGTGTAGCCAAGGAGAAATAAGTGCATATAATGCGATAGATGATAAAAAGTACTGACGACAATGCAATGGTGGAAATGAGGCTGAAGTAGGACATTTTGTGAGCATCCAAGTCCGATATATGTCGAAGTCTACTATAGAGGGCGATATGAAACTTATGATGGCTAAGGTCTGCTTCCTCAGGGCTAGAGATTAGTATTCCAATACTACGCTAGTTTGTGCTCGATCAATGTCTCTTTGCAACTAGGCATTGAGAGACCCTATAGTGTGTGGAAACAAGTGGATGGCAGATGCAGGTCACCATGTCGATAAGTAACCCTTGCCTACTGTAGTCGTAATGCATTGGCATTTGAGATCTTTCGTGAATACATGAATATACATAACCATGCTCATAGGAGCATAGCAGCATGTATGGAGGCCCGACAACCGAAGTCCTGCTTCAGTGCCAAGCCTAATACACTGAGACCCACTCGACAAGATCGGAGGAGCGGTGTCGTCCTCGCCCGCATATTTTTGGCCCCTGGGCGTACATTATATATAGTCTACGCGAGTGGCTTAGCTGAATAATGTATGATGTAAGGGGCACTGGTTTACCTTTATACTAGTGCCGGTACTTATCACTTTGGGCTGGCTCGGTGGCTCGTACCGAGTCATTTTTACCAACTCTGATATGGTCAGACGCTGCTTGGAGATCAGATATCTATGCTCCCTGGCGGTCTGTAACTATGTTTATTTTACTCTGTTGTCAGCAAGGGATCTCGCAGATCTACATTCTAGAGGGCGGGGGCACTGGCCAATAATACATTTATTTGAAATTAACAAAAGCATGGAAGTCAATGGCCTTTTTCGATCGATCTCTTGCATAATGATTTGTAGTAAACTAATGCGATTATGATTTTCCCAAGTGAATAGATAAGCAGGTTAGAAATTCCCTCTAGCCACAGTTAATTAGGATGGCTACAGTATTCCGCATACCTAGTTCATTCTACCTCCCATTAACACTCTTTCCTTCTCTGTCTGTCAAATTTGGAGTATATCGCCTTATTCTGAAGTGATGGAAACGCGTGATAGACTGTATAGCCTTATAGCTAAGGTCGTGGGCCTTGAGATAGGCTCTATTCGGGATAACAGCAACTTTTTCGGCATCGGAGGCGATTCTATATCCGCCTTGAAGCTCACAAAACTATGCAAAGACGAAAATCTGTTTCTCACCGTTGACGATATTTTCGACTATCCGGAAATGGCGGATCTGGTCAGAATATCAGGAAAAAGACCTGCCACGAACGGCACGCGCAATCAGCCTAAGGAGCCAAAGACGCCTCTACAGACAATCAATCCAAATACTCTATGCCGACAGCCCACACAAGAAGAGTCTTCTAAGTGCAACCTTGCTGTCCTTCCTACCACAGGCTTTCAGCGATGGAGTCTATCCGGAATGCACTACCGGTACTTCAGGATTTCTTTGCCTGCCAGTATCGACAGGAATCGGCTTTTCCACTCTTGCGAATTGTTGGTGCAAAGACACGACAGCCTGAGAACTGCGTTTGCTAAGCAGGATGGTGACAATGGAAAGACCGTGGTCCAGATTGTACATCCATCGGTTCGAATCCAGTTCCAGGAAAACAATCAAGTTGAATCATTGGACCGGCATTGTGACGAAGATACCCGGGACGCAGTAGAGCCCCCTGTGGATGGAAAGCCTCCATTCCAGGTGCAGATTGTGACACTAAAGGATTCAAGAGCATTTCTTGTGTTGCGATTTGCGCATGCTCAGTGGGACGGTTTCTCGCTAGCCAGCATAACCAACGATCTGTCGGCAGCTTACAACAACCTTCCGCTATCGCCTACCACGCAGTACTTTCAGCATGCTTCCGCTGCGTGGGCCACACACACCGACGACGCATTCAAAATCTGGATGCGAGTCTTGGAGGGCTCGCAAATGACAAAAATGGATGCGGGGGCTCTGCTCCTACTCCCAAAAGAATCTGCCAGATCAGAAATCGGCATCAAAATGCAGGAGCCGTATACAGTCAAAATTACAAAGACTATACCAAAAGAACCTTTGTCTTCCCTTCCAACAAACATTTCCATGGGAACGGTGATCAAAACAGCGTGGGCAATGACCCTCATGCATTCCTTCCGCCGAAAAAGGACCTCGGAAGAGAACCAGGTACATGATGTTGTCTTCGGCCAAGTTACCAATGGTCGTGCTCTAGGCATCCCCAATGAGAGCCACATTATCGGACCCTGCACGAACATTATCCCAGTGCGCGTGCGTCTGACTGGAACTTCCATCACTAAACTCGATCTTCTGCGCAAAGTACAGCGACTATACCTCGATACGAGAGCATATGAGAATGTGGAGTTTGAGCATATCGTCAAGCGATGCACCACGTGGGCATCAGATACGAAATATGGCAGTATTGTGCGATTCCAGAATTACGACTTCAACCCAACAACTTGGCTAGAGGGAACTGCCTGCAAAGGATCCCTTTATTATGTTCCCAATCGGCCTTCAGAGACAGCGAATATCGCTATCTTTCCTTTTGAAACCGAACTATCCGTGGTGATGACGGTGTCGAATCATACTCTCAACGAACAGGAGGCCCAGTGTATAGTCGACGAGTTTTGCAAGCAGGTTCAAGAATTTAGCAACGACCATGATTTGGATGAACCTGTCAATTTGCAGTATTCATACCAAGCTCCAGAATGACCATCCTTGGCCGAATTGAAGAAATAAAGCGGAATACAACGGAGCTTATACTCCTATCATTGACCCTCCTTGTGGTTGTTGGAAACCAGGGGAGGGAAACAATGCACAATGTATTGGTCTAGCTCAAACTGCGCTCACAATGGTAGGGGGAAGAAATGAATACAAGCTATGGGAAGAATATGACCAAAAAATGTTTATATTGAGTACCATTGCTGATAATTCTCAAATTCGACTCTCATCTCCATTATGCTACCTTTCAGTCTCAAGATCTGTTAACGTTTCCAAAACCTCCTCCACAACCCATCAGCCAGCCCTTGATTGAATTTCCATCTAAAAAAGACTTCCTCTTTGAGCCTGTAGTTGATTGTCTCCTGGGGTGGGTTAAATACCTTCTGGCGATGACAGAGGCTGCTATTTTGAGTGGCTTTATGCTACTCTACTAAGTGTAATTCCTAGGAACTGCGGAGCCGAATGATCTAGGTCAATAGATCGTGGTCGCCGTCTTCCACTAACTGTGTTGTATTTTTACTAGTAGCGGGAAAGCGATCCTATTTATTATCCTCGGGATCAAAAGGCTCGAAGTCTATCTCGAACTTCTTTTGCGATCGCTGAATTAGAAGCTAAAGTTCGGCCGCGTTCTGAACTCTTGCCTTGACTTTTATACAAAATAAATCGCGCTATACCTTAGGTATTTCGGCTACCTATATAAAATGATATTTTCTAGACCACAGCTCCAATCTCGGCTTTAGGAGTCACTTATTGGGCGCGTGGATGAAGGGAGAGAAGGATACCACGGCAAAATGTTTTTTTTCTCACCGTAACCCTCTATAAGGTAATCGAGAGCCTTACCCCGTGGACGAAGACTGCTACTCTCTAAAAGAAAATAGCTTGATTTATATATACGTGAGTCAATCGATCCCTTTGAACAAAATAGCTAAAATGAACGGAAATCATACCGCTTTAGCAGCCAAAGAGTTCAAAGGAATTAGAGGAAACCTTAGTGGTAGGAATATATTATCTGCCTTCCTAAGTTTCTCCCAGAAGGACTTCTCTTTTTAGTCGTATCAGTGACGAGCGTGAAAGATGCTCAAAGAAGCGATAAAGAAATAAGCTAATCGATAGCAAACATTGATAAAAGTAGTCCTTGTCTCCCTCCCTATAGAGTTAAAGGTAATATTTAAAGACGCTCTAGGTTAAGAGAAGTAAGGAAGTGTAGTAACCCTAGTGAACCTGGTAATAATTAATTTATATCGTATCAGTATAAATATATATCTATTATAAATACCTATTGATATTAGTAAAAAACACTTATCAAGCCTACTACATACTACTAACTTAAATATACATCTTTAAACTTTTATAGTATACTAGGGGGGCAACGGGCCAACAGCCAAGCTTTGGTGGATTTTCGACTAGAACCTAATATCAAATGGTATACTCGGTTTTGATTTGTCAACCCTCAACATCTCAAGCCTTTGGGTGCCGAATTGAATTAATCTAGGTCAACCTGTTTGACTCGAGAAGTGCTAGCCGCCTTTCCATTTCCCTCTCTTGGTGTTACCGATGTATCTCCCTCTATAGACGATGACTCCAGGGGGTCAATAGCTGAGAGACCCGCCTCTGCCTTTGCTGATTTTTTCTTATCGTACCACAAAAGTAATTGAATAGTTGCGGTGCACAAGACTGGAAAGATATGGTCAGTAGGGAGCATGATTTGGATGGAGGTGGAATGGCTTCTTACTGAGCAATACTTGAAGTACGATTGACCAAGTGTATCCCTTGGGTGCTTGGGGGAAGTCTGTGGTTTTCCACACGAAATTGGGTGCCTTTGTCCAAGCTAGTTAGTATTGTCCTTGGGAAAGGGGAAGAGAATAGGAGACTCACGATGGCTTGTACAACATAAGCAAAGTCATTCGCCATAGCAACAAGCAACGCTCGCTTTTCTGTATCATCGGAGCAAATCTCATTGATCCAACTTAAGATTAAAGGACCAGCGCCAGCCTAAAAGCACTGTTAGGACGTGATGATTGAAAACTCCGGAATTGCAGACTTACGCCAATATTACTCAGCCAATAAACAGCCATACGGCCCTTGATATTTGTGTAAAATGGCAGAGTCTTCAACAAGACGGCGAAAATAAGCTGCGCGATAGAGACAATCGTTAGCTACCGTAGTATAAAAATAGCTTGACTGGTGTAGCCTCTCTTGACTCACAGTAATCACGGCACCGATGTAGATAAATGGCCAGCGAGCGCCGCGACAGGGCCCATCGGACAGCCAACCCCAAATCAAGCCCATCACGATAAGAACACCGGTCGTAGGAAGAGGTACTTTTGCATGAGTTAGTTGTTTGTAATTAGATGAAGGACCCGAAGTCGAACTCACAGTTATTGATTTGTGCGACTGTGTAACTCCTCCCGGGGACAGGGGGAGGGTCGGCATTGAAACTCTTCAGCCAATAGCCCATAGCAGGTTGAAGGTAGCCATTATTCCAGATGACGTATAGCAATGCTGTGGGTCATTATTAGTATAGTCCCAGGATGAGAAAGGCGCATAGTAGAGGACAACTCACGAAGAAGATAAGTATGCCAACTCAGCAGGATTGCCTTCGCCCTTTCCTTGGTCAAGGCCTTCTTGCCAGCACGTCCAATGTTATCCATTCTCTTGATTGACAGAATGTGCTCCTCTTCCGTTGTCCACCAAGTCTTCTTACCGCTTTGCGGTAGGTTAGGGAAGAATACATATCCGGCGAGCGCAAGTGGTAGCGTAATGATACCATCAATAATAAAAAGCCAGCGCCCTATTTTCATCTGTCAGTAGCTATTTTTGTTTGTTTTTGTTTGACTTGAGGCAACGGAGAGAAATGCTCGAAACCAAAAGCTGGGAGAGGGAAAATCGAGAAGGATTGCGGTCACGTACATCCAGCGTAACCATGTGTTCCATTTAGGTTTGTATATGCGGCGGCCTGGAGGAAACCGCTGAATAAAGTGCCAACCGAACCGGCAAGCCAGAAGATCATAGCCCGCTTTCCAATTTCTCGCGGTGTGTACCATGATCCTAGTAAGTAATGGATGCCGGGGTAAAATCCTGATCTATAACCGAGTCAGTAACTGGTAATCAACAGTAGACATAATCTTGGGATGTCGACATACTCAAAAAGTCCGACAAGGAAGCGCAAAGCATACAGGGACTTGTACGATTTAACACTTGATGTGCAAATAGTCGCGAGACCCCATCCTAGCTCTAGCGAGGGGATGACCCATCGAGGCGAGATTCTAGTCAACAACAAGTTGGACGGAATTTGACCAATAACATATCCCACAGTCCAGATAGACGTGCCTGTAACACTGGTCGTTAGTAAATGCGAGAAAGCCGCTCAGCCTTTCGCAAAAGGAAGGACAAGAAAAACCGGGTACGGCGAGAGCAAAAGCACGTACTAGTCACTAGTTGATTGCCAAACATCTCGAGATCCTCTTCCATGCCACTGAGAAATGCGTTGTTGACATTTGTTTGGTCGATATTCTTCAAAAAATAACCAATAGATGCGAACGTGAGAACGAAAGCGTCTACTTTAAAAAGCAGCCAACGTTGATCCGGTGGAAGGTCCCATGTATCCCATACATAACTTTTCCATGACCTGACAGGATTTACGACATCATTTCTTTGAGCGTTGTTGCTCTGGTTCTCCGCATCATCTATGCTGTGCACCGAGGCAGCCGTCACTTGTTGAGAATCACCCGTGGTGCCCATCGCGATTTGGGAGTGTGACGCTGGAACACCCACTGCGCAAGATAACTGTACAAGGGTTTTTTTTCGTGGGGATTAGTGGATATTCTACCGATCTTATACAACTAGTGAGATACTTTGTCCCTAGCGGACGTTTTAATATGTCCTCAGCGGACGTTTAAATCGCGTCAGTGACAGATTCTACGATCATCCCACTCTAAGGTACGACAGTTGAGGAGATAGATAGTCATTAAGTCCGAAACTAAGGTTGATTACGTTCTATAGGTTTATCCAGCGGGTCCCTAGCATACAGACATGGCGATTCTCCGGTGTAATCTTGCGCAATACTCACGCAATTTGCTTCAAATCCTGCAAGCTTTCACATTAAAGAATGCACCCGCCTTGCTAGTGTTTAGCCTATCTCTGAGGCCAAGGAAATACTTGTGGACTTAAAAGTATTTTGCTGACAGATATGGGCTTTTCTCACGGTTACGTGCTAAGACGCAATTCCTTGGTATCTTACGTGCTACGAACAACATAAACTCGAATGACACATGCAACCATTAAAGGACGATGTCTCTGCCCTTTCAGCTCTCAACATGATAGGTGCTGGCAACAAAAGGATTCCTAATTGTCGGAAGTCATTGTTATGTTTCCAAACAAATATGCGAGATAGACCCGAGAGCCTCAACGCGGGGCCCCGGGACCTCGGGAGTTTACCAGATTACGCAAGCCTCAGCATAGCGATTCACAGTCTCTGAATATGTAAGTAATTCATTAACATTCTCGCGATCGGCTACCCTATGTCTCATCGACTATCTCGAAAGGCCAAGGAATCCCAGGCCAGGGATACATCGATTTGCAGATGAACAATCCACTCTACCGGTGAATTGGGATGGAGTAATCACCTTAATTGCACTACTCAGAACCCATTATTTGACGCTGCAATCTCAATGGAAGAGATGGATCAATTGGTCGTATTTCTTCGGCGCGCCCAGGACTTCATGTGGAACCCTACGGTCGGTCGCAGGGTAAATAGTACCAATATTTACCACGGGCTCTCGTGGTATTACTAGTTTAACCATTTAATGAATTTAGAGCTCTTAAGGTTGTGGGTTAAAAAAAACTCCAAAGGGAAATCGTGAGCACGGGGATGGGTCTTCAAAGTACCCGACATTTCAACTTTTATCACATTTATAGGCCGCATATTCCGGTCAACCTTTTGTTAACCCAAGTTATGGCTCTATTAGCGACGAAGAACTGGAGTGTTATTC